CCGCCCCTCCCGCTTCTGCGTGCCTGCGGTGCCTCTGTACCTGCAACTCCCCTGTACCTCCCAGGACTCTGGGTATGAACCTTGACAAGTAGACCAAGCTTGGGTCCTCTGTCGCTGTCGCTTGCCCCCGCCGCGCTTCGCTTGGAGCTTCGATCTGCCTGAATGCCTGACTGAACTCTACACGAGCAAAAAAAGCGACACGGCTACGCGGCCATACGTACATGCGCGTAAGCTCTGTACCTGCGTACCTTTGTGCTGGCCGAGTAAGCCAGCTGAGATCCGAAACTTCGGTTCTAACCTGAACCTCTGAGTCATGCGAGCTTGAGAGTTGGGCGGTGCGGAGCATGCGCAAGCGAGCGATGCGAGCGACGCTAGCGAGAGGGCAACGGAGATGGGAACATTGCAGCGTGTGTCTTATTGTTCTCTACGCGGTCGAATCGCACGCATCGCATTTCTCAGCACTATCTCAGCGACATTTCAACACGGCTCTGCACGATCGCATGCATGATAATTGTTGTGATGATGTAAGACGGGAACGCCGGTTGCGCCCTCCGCCGCCGGCCGGCGATCCGCAGGGAACGGCGACCCGGCGAGCTGGGCCAGGGTATGCCAGATGAACGCCTGCAGATCACTAGACCATGGATGATGGACATCTGGACATCCGCCTGGTGCATGCTCCATTGTTCGCGGTGCATGCCGCAACGGCATAGTCGACCCTTAGCGTGCAAGGTGTGTTGTATCGGCGGCTGACGCCCATGCAGAAGAACTGCGGGTGCCCGCGCACCCTTCAGGAATGTGACGACTGCCCGCGCGTCATGCACAGTTGATACCACCCAGCGCTAGTGCGGTCGGTGGCGCGAGTAGGGATCGCGGCGATCAAAAAGGATCTGCGTGCATTCAGTCCATTGGAGCTGCCCTGGGATGTTTAGAGCATTTGTGCCGTTTTGGACGCCGGTGCGCGCCGTGGCTGTCCGTAGTTTTTTTTTTTCGCGCTCTCCATCCCTAGTCGATCCTAGGGACCCTCGACGCCGCCGAAACACGCCGTCACCGGCGCGCGCTTGGCTTGGCCAAAGGCGTGAAGTGGCGTTCTATTGTTCTGACGCACGAGGCGCAGAACCGGCGAAAAAGACGCATCATACAGAATAGTTTAACCAAGCCCGAATCGCACCAAAGCGCATCGACGAACATCCGACCCGATGCTCTGCAAACAACCGCGGCAAATACCAAAGTGACTCATGGCCTGAGTCATCGGCCAGATCTGCGTACCTTGCTCTGTGTGTCGATCAGACTCAGCCCATCCCCGGGCATGAACCAGCAACACATTAGACCCTGAACAGATTTTCTTTTGTTCTGCCGTGCACAGATCGTGACACGCAGATGCATACGCACGAGCGCGTTCCTCGTATTCACCAAAGCATCCATGCGAAGGCGCAAGCCAAGCGGCCAAGCAGCCCAGCTACGGGCATCGCGTGCGTCGGCTCGCCCTGCCCGCCAGACACTGGGCGCTAGGCGTCAGCCATGCAGCCATGTAGCCATGTTGCCAGCATCCTATTGTCTGGAGGTACGCATGCTCGCGCTCGCTCGGTGCGCCGATCCCTCTGCAGTCGTCACCCAGCTTCACTTGGCGCGCGGGTGTATCCTGCAAAAACACTCTGCGGCGATCTCTGCATTCCGCGAATCCAATCCGGCATATGGCAAGACCTGCTGCCGGCACGGGCATGCGGGCACGCAAAAGGGGCGGAAGTACACTGTCGCGACGAATTGCATTACATTTTTCGTTTCCGGTTTCCGATGCGCGACTTGTTACGAGCGAAAGTGATCGCGGTGCCTGTCGTCCATTATTGATGTTATTTTGTTTCTGAAGCGCTATCGACCAGTCGTGCGAGCCCCAAGTCGGTGAGGTACGAAATGGCTCTCTTCGGAACGGCGAACGGTAAGCGGCAATGGCATTTGCGCGAGCGCAACATCCGCCACCGAGCCTTCGTCTCCCATATCCCAACGGATTGCGATGCATTCAATGAGGTGCCCGGCGTGGCGCCGATGCAATGGTGCAGACATGCGACGTATCCGCCGCCCCATTTGCCGTCCCACTTGCCGTACGGAACCTCGAATAGATTCTGTCAGCCGACGAGCCGTATCATCGAGTTGAGGGGACAGCCGGTCCATGTCGCCGAGTCGCATGTCGAACAGGCGCTAGTGTCGGGCATCTTGCCGGCGAGCTAGAGCTGCGCTATGGATAGCCCGCGATCGCCCGCAGTTGTAATGATGCATGCATGCACCGATCCCCCGTTCCTCGCACTAGTGTGGCTGCTGCTAGTGCTGCGCACGGCGCTGCGGCGCCGTAAAGTCGCTCTGAATGTGCGCCGCTGAATCACCGATGTTTCCGTCGGAGTGTCTGCAAGTGCACCACATGCATGCGTGAGAGCGGAGAGTGGACACAGCGCAGGCTTCGGTGTCATGTGTCCGCGTCGCTCGGTGTCGCTCGGTGTGCGGCTGTGGATCGGCTCGTGGCACACCCCACCTCGTAGCGTGTGATCGCGGTATGCATGCATGCATTTCTGGCAGATCTCATCGAAATGTAGCAACCCCAAACTGCGAACGGGAGACTATGCACCGAGGACCATAATCGAGCACACTTAGAAAAACGTCACAGATGAGGCAGAACGTGCCGCGTGCCGCTGATATGCACAGCATACCGCGCGCCGTCGCCGGGCCGGTGGGCTGGTGACGGGCCGTATCAAAAATTTCGATCCTCTCTAGCAACAACCTGGCACGACATGGCACGCTGGGACGGGCTCACGGCACGCCCGCAACGCATTGGTTACGGAAGCTCGGATCGATCGGTGGTGTGCAAAAGGTACAGATGGGATCGGGGGGTACATCCTCTGCAACTCCGGAGAGCTGTTCAAAACAGATCTCGGCGAGGTGTCGGCAGATGGTTTGGCGGGTGCTCCGGGTGGCTCGGCGGGTTGTGGCGGGCAGAGCTTGTGCATGCTGCAGAACAGCGGCTCGGGTCAAGTTTCCAACTCTGTGAGGCGGTACCTCGCTCGTCGCACTCCCGCGAGCGCACTTGGGTGCGCACTGGCAAACCTACGTCGCGGTGCGCGTTCCTGGTCCTGGTTTGGGTCTGCGAGTTCCTGTCGTGGCTTGCTTCGGCGCTGCTCGGCGCGCTCGGCGCGCACAGCTGCCGGGCGGCCGCCGCTTGCGAGTGCCTGCGCATGCCGAGCGACAGTACACCGAAGCTTACTCGATGGGATCTGTGGCCGTTACCGGCACGAGTGGACGCTGGCACGAGTGGCAGTGACTGGTGACAGGACACCGGCGACCGCGACAGGAACGAAGAGGAACGCACCTTGGCTGTTCCAACGCCGGTGTCTGCTGTACCCCATCAGATCTTTTCATGCACCGCCGAAGTCGGGGAGCAACAGGTCCATGAGACGATGCATCGAATGGACGTAGCAATGAACAAGGATGGAGGTGGACGGTCCGCCGGTCCGGCGCTCGGGAGCACGTCCGGCACACCCATGGCGCCACCTGATGAGTTGCTGATTCCCGGTCGTGATTCCCGGTATGTCCACGCACAATCAGAGTGGGCTCAGCCGGCACACGAGGGGGCCGAAGGTGCAGAAGCGGGGCAAGAAGGGATGGAAACCGGGACAGGAGTGGGTCGTCGCCCACAGTTCAAGTTTGCAAGATAATCTCATAGTGGGGTTGATTACACGATATCGCCAGAGCTTGCTTGTGCCTTCTCGGTTGCGGGGATTGATTCCAACAGCGCTTTTCGGACGGCGAGCGAACGCGCATGCCGCGCGTGCACACGAATGTCGCACGACTGCTCCGGTCATGCATGTGCCGAAACTCGGCAGTAGGGTGGGTGTTGACGTCCTATTGTTCTCCCCTTCACCCCTTGGCCACGTCCTATTGTCCTTCCCTCGTCATGTCTTTCCTTCCCCTCGCACGCAACCCCTGCGGTTATCACTCATCAGGGCCTCCGACGGAACCCCGCCGGACGTTGTGCATGTCCGGCGCAAGGCCTGGGATGGCCGACGCACGAGCCGGCGCTGATCGTTCTGGCATGAGACGGGCTGACAACGGCTGCCCGGCGGCACAGAATGGCTGGGAATGAGGCGTTCGGGGCGCAGGGGGCGCAATGAGGCGTCCGGGGACGAGTGTCTGGAAGCAGCTGGACCCGAACTGGAATGAGCTGGCCAGGCTTGGGTGCATCAGTGTCTCATGTCCGCCATGATCGACACGCAGACGCCGAGGCGCATATGCTTAGGGAGGGAGTAAAATGGCGCGGGGCGGATCCAGCGGAGCATCGCACACCGGAATATGCGACGTCGGTTCTAGCGACCAAAGCGTTTCAATTCTCATTCCCAAGCGAAACGAGCAGTCGAGACACCGAGAAACAACAATGCATCACATCACACAGAACCACGTCAAACGCGCCAAACCGGCCACAACCAAGGTGTCAGGCCTGAAGCCTCAAAGGAGGCCAGGGATCAGCGGACAAAGGGAGGCAAGGGGAGGGGGGAAGGGGGACGGAGGGTTCGAGGAATATTAATTAATTGCGATTGGGTCGGTGGCCGGTTATGGGCCAGGCGACAACCAGGCGGCCGTCAGTGATGCCAGGCTCGATGCCGTTCTTTCATTGCAACCGATGCTTCCCCGTCTGCAGCACATGCTCTGCGCAGCACTCGCTGTGCTCGCGAGACAAACCCGCAAGGTACATTCGGTCGTATGGGACGGGCGCCACAGGAAGTTCGGCAGGATATACACAATGAACCTCAAAGACCTCATACCGGGCAGCGCGCAGACAAAGTTTTGGAAGGTGGACATTGGACATGAGCACTGCGGTCCGTCGCGCGCGACGCGACGAGCCATTATTGTTTGTCCGCCAAGCCCGCATCGCTCTTTGTGGACCTTTTCGGGTCTTCCCTCCGTTCCCGTGCGGAACGCCTGTGCCCGGCGACGATCGCCGGACTAAGTCTAAGCACGGACAGCGCAACCATGGCATCGTCGCATAGCACAGTGCATCGCATCGCATTGCATTGTTCAACGCTTGCTGGGAACGGCGACGACAGCGACGGGATATGGAATAGCTGGCTGAACCTGGTGGCCGCCGAAGGTTGGCCGGTTGTAGTTGGCCGACTTGGTCGACTGGCCGCTGGCCGGCGATTAAAGCAACTTTTTCTTTTCGTGTCTTGGCTCAAGCTCTGAAAGTGAACTAAGATGGATCGATAATAGGCAATGACGGTATGGCAGTGAGGCGGTGTTGGGTGGTGCCTGGCGTGTTCCTCTGTTGGATACCTTGGGAGGCTCTGGGAACATTGATCAATCACCAACCCCTGTCGCCGCTGAGCGCACCTCAGGGCTGACGCGGGCGCTCCCTGCTCTCATGTTCCTCTGCCCTCTCGCGCCTGTCTCGAGTCGTCATCTGACCGCAGCCCTGAAAGCCTGAGGCACAGAGTGCCCTGACCCTGAGTGGCCTCGCTGCCCTGGCCCTGACCCTTGGCTGCTCGATTACACGGTCCGAGGTTCCTTAACCATACGCTCATCGCGTTCCTCGATCCTCTGGGTTAGTGACCAGCGCAGGGGAGCCGCAGGGCAGCAGGGGGTCACCACGGCACTAGGCCGATGTTCGCAGGTCAGTCAGCCCTCAGGGTCCTCTGGCGCGCGCCATCTGCCCAGTCGCCACTCGGGCTGAGGGCCTGATGCGCCTGATGCGTCGACGATCTGGCACTCGGGCCCAATCCCCGGGATATTGTATTTCCCACCGCGAACCGTAATCTGGGCAATGGGCACTTGGCCACTTTGCTGTCCATTTCGCAACCCTGAGTCTCTGGGACCCAACGCCATCGGCCATCTGCAGCTGCCGCACGGCGCTACGACACACACCACCACCGGCCACCACCTGGTCCAGCGCCGCCAGAACGCCAGCCGGCCAGCGGCGACACACGGCTCATCCCCCTTCCTCTGCTCCGTTCTCCTCTGCCCTGGCAAGTCTTGCATGCCCTGCGTGCCCTGCAGCCCTGCAACCTAGCTCGTCCCAGCGAAACCCAGCGTAACCCAACTTGAAAGTGTTATATATATTTCATTCCTCAGAACCCACCACATCTCCCTCTTCCCTAGTCATCCCAACCTCGCTCGCCTCTTCGACAACTCTCTCCTCCAACTTATCTCAAGACGGAGCATCGAGGATCCACATAACGCGCTCCCACTTCTCCTTCCTGGCCATCTACTTTAACGCCTTCGTCACTTGATCTCTTGTCCCACTGCAAACAAACCCGACATCCCACCATGGCCCCCGGAGGTTACCCTTGTCCTGAGCCAGGATGTGGCAAGTCCTTCTCCTCAAGCAGTGAGTAGTCACGCTTCGTCTTTTTCTTCTGTCTGTCAGTCAGGCGATCTTGATCGCCAGATTGATAGTCGGATGGGGGCGCAGTCGCAATGTCTGCTGAATCTGCGGCTGACGTTAACCAACAGGCCACATGAGGCGTCATGTCCGTAACCACAAGGGCGAGCGCGCGTTCACTTGCGAGCACTGTGGACAGTCCTTTGTCCGGAGAGAAGTCTGGAGGCGTCACGAGGGCCTGCACCTCAACCCCCAGTCTGCGCGTCCGAGGATCAAGCCCGTTCGACGACCCGACGCCGCCGCGCCCCTGACGTCCGCCAACATGGGCACGTCTCAACCGATAACCCGAGTGACGACTACCGCGACGACGTCTTCCTCGTCCTCTGGACCTCACGTGCCGGCTGTTCACCCTCCTCCCATCATGCGCGAGGACCGCAGCCCGCTCGAGAACTACTCCCCTCCTCAGTACGCCTACGGCCACACTGAGGTCGACATCCAGCCCGTCTACTACCCGCCTCCTCACTGGGTCCAGCAGGTCGACTATGTGCCTCACCACATCCCGCCCCCTCCTTCGGCACACCCTCACCCTCAGCAGTCCGGCTACTTCCCCCAGGCGCCTACCGGAATAGAGAACTGGCTGGACCAGATCATCACGCCGCCTCAGGCGGGGTTTGGGCCCATGAATGGTGGCTACGACACTACTCCCCCGAAGGAGGTCTGGCCTGAGCAGGAGTACCACTACGAGAACCAGAACGGCGCCGTCGACCTTCGTCTTCGCGAGTACTTTTTTCGGCCACAGCCTACCCCTGTGGGTAGGCCAATCGACGACAACCGCGGTGGTCGGAGGCACTAGAGTGTAAGAGAACTCTCGAGTTCTCGTCCTCAGCGATCGCATTCACACGAAGCAAAAGAACACACCCGCACCAGTGATCAGGACACTTTCACGCCTCCGAGACGCGCGCGCCCCGTTCGTTCGACTTTCTCCACTTCTCAACCGATACACCCTCTCGGTACACGTCCATCGAGATACCAACCCACTCCTGTGTTTAATAAGTGCATATCAGGACACTTCCCACTTCGCTTTCGCTTCAACGCTCGAACGCTTCGCCCCGCTCTCGCTCCCACGCAAACGCAAACATATACACGCATTCTCCTATGCCTTCACGGCCTTCACACGCACCCAGTTGTATCACGCCTCTTTCACGCTGTAAAAACGCATTTCTCACTTTCCACCTTCCTCTCGCGACACCACACACTCAACCTCAACAATACACACACAACGCACTCTCCTCGCACACCTAGACTCTGGCATTGGGCTCCGGACCGCTTCTCAAGCTGCTCCTGTATAATTAGCGATATATTTCATCATACACGTAGACTATGTATCGTGACCAACCCACACACCGCAGCTGCAGACCGAAGCAATTTGACATTCCGCGTGAAATGCTAATCTGAACAGTGATCGCGTCAGCCGAACCTCGGTGCAACCAAGCTGCCTGGGTATGGTGGAGTGGAGTGGGAGCGCCATTTTCCCAATCGTAGAGGGAGTTGGCCACCTGACCACTGATTGATTGCAACTGATTTGGAACGGCAGACAAACCGAGTGGCCAGCGGCCAGCCGCAGTAATTTAGTTCTCAGTTCTGAAGTCGCAGGCTCAGGCGTCCGTGCGCAATGACCAAATTGCCGCCTGCCCCTCCCGCGCTGCCCGCGGCGGCAACGCACAGGCCAGAGCGGCAGAGCGGTTGGGCGGTTATGGCGGCAGCCCGTAGCGCGCAGCGCGGTAACGTGCCAACTTCCTGCATCAAGTCTCTGCGATACCCCTGTCCCCTCTGTCATCTGGTGACATCTGGCCACAGCGCACCCGAACAAGCCCCGATATCATCTTGTCACCTGGCCAACCGATGGACCATATGTCGTCCTGCCTCTGACTGTGAGCTCATGTGCATTGAATTGCTTCTGAACGCATGCGCAGCATCTCATCACATCTCGCAGCTGAGGATGACCAGGGGCGAGCGCATGTATGAGCTCCGCACCGAGGCTGAGGGCTCCTGGACAGACGTACCGCGTCAGCGTCAGTGCATACCGTGGTGACTTGCACAAGCTCACGCGCAGCAGTCCATGTGGCAGGGTCGGAGTGGGGGTGGGGGACCACGGATGGAGATTGCGTGTTGTTCTCCGGTCGGTCTACACGCGATGCAGAACAAGGTGGCGTGTGCGCTTCGCGAGGCTCGACAGCGGCGGCCCAGCGGGCCTCAGCGGGCCTCAGCGGCTCGGCGGGCCGGGAAGCTCCATGTCATTACACTCAGGCATGTTCAGGTCCTGCAGGAAGTCGCTCCTGAACCAAAGAGCCCAGGCAGCCGCGAGCCCGAACGAAGGTCTCACATGCGTTCGCTGTTCCAGGAGCCAGGAGAAGCGCAGGAGGAGCGCAGGAGGCACCCTCTGCGCTTAGATACTCCTGAACGATGTAGATGAGATCCTGCATCCCGGAGTCCCAGATATCGGCACGACGTACGCCGCATGGCACGCAAGGACTCAAGGACGCAAGGCTGCGGGCAGAACAACACCGAGCGAAGACGAGGCAGAGGAGAGTTCAACGAAAGGGATCTCGCGAAGAGTGGGTCGAACCCTTCTCCTTGGTGCCCATTCCCTGGCGCTCCGCGAGTCATGTCCGAGTGGCTCACTGTATCCTCCTCACTGTCGCACCAGAGAACCCGTTTATCCTGATTGCTCTGCAGGCGGTTTCATTTCCTTCATTCATCTCTGAACCCGCAGACCTCAGACACAACTTCAGGTGTGTAGGAAAGGGGGCAGGAAATTGAGACGAAAATACCCAACAAATAGGTGCCAAGCGCGTCATGACCGCCGGCCAACGCCCATGTCGGCGGGTTCGGCGCGCTCGGCGGCTTAGTGTCGCGCGCAGCCGCTCGGCGTGCGTTCGGCATCGCCGGCTGAAGCAAAGGCACTTTGAGGGCACCATGCTGTTCCACTTTGGATCTGGAACCAGAGTGGGGGAGGATATCGAACAGCAGACCGACGCGCACTCGTTTATTTTTGATGAGGCGACGCGTCTGCCACACCTTACTCAGCACTCTTCGGGCGCTTGGTCAGTCACCTCCCCCGGGAGCCCTTGGTGCCGAACAAGGCTTACGGACATGACTTACGGCGTCAAGGAAGCTAGGTCGGTAAGGAACAGCGAAAGCTAACTGGAGCCACCTCCCTGCCCGATGGTGCGCAGGCCTCGGACGGCGCAGAAAAAGCGTAAAGTGGGGCGCCCCCGCGCGATAGGGCACCGAATCTGTGTGGAGGTTGCCTGGAAGTTTGTCTGCCAGTGACTAACCGGGGTCGAGTGGCCCTCAACGGCGTCGCCAGCTTTGCGTCGGCGTCCGACCCACTGCCCATTGACGCTGACAGGACCATGGAGATAATGATAAGGGTGATTGGTCCGTCTCGTCCATCTCATGACGTTTGAGGCGGACACCGTCCACTTTCGCAGTCGCGGTGACTTGCAAGAACCGTGTCTCACGTACTCCACACGTCGCTGCACGCTTGCACCACATCAACTACCGACCTGCACGACCGGCTACTCGCCACAAAGACAACGGAAGGAGTCCAAGGAGCCACACTCAGGGGTGTCTGATGGAGCACGCACGAGCCTAGCGCCAGGGCCTCAGACCGACCTGTCTGATGCACCGAATCGAGCCTTGGTGCTGACAGAGACGGACACCACAGGGAGAGCTGCCTGCACGACTGACAGACGACGCGGAGAGCGCACGGACACTTTGTTCGCCTTTCCTGCGCGAGAGTGTACGGCATGGAGCTCGACGCTTTTGCGCTATACGACAGGACATGTGACCTTTGGTCATGTGCAACTGCGCTTGCTTTCTTTTGCTTGCTGTCGTCGTGCCTGGTCTTCGGTTGGGCCCAAGGTTTGGGGCGGGGACGGACAAGCAAGACCACCAGAGATCCTCTGCTAACACAATACTGCTTTCGGTATGCATCGAGGAATGCTTGCAGGTTGTTGACACTGTGTTGCACCAAGAGCCATCCCGTGTATCGGAGGACAGGTGTCCGGACCGAAGAGCCAAACACATTGCGCAGCGCGTGCATCCCTGTGTCAAGCTCACACAGACGCGCACCAGCGATGCTCCGTGAGGCACCTGGGTGAGACATGCAGGCGGAGTGTCCAAGTGGAGGCAAAGAGGATCCGACGGAGCGTCAGCCAGTCAGTGGGCAGTGGCTTTCGTAAGCACTGTGTTGGTGGAGGGCACAACAACGTCATAGCTCCTGCGATTCTGAATGCGAGTTACCCTCATCGGCCAGTTAAGTGGTGACCGAGAGACCGAGACAAGCGCTCGTTATAGGTCTGCTGACACGAGATGCATACCTCAGCATAACAGCCTCGGCATCTGTCACAGCCAACGGGCGCTCGGCGCACCTCGGCGCACGTTTCAGTCCAGAACAGGCCAGAACGACGTAACCTCTTGGGGTTACAGAGTAACACGCTGTCACACACAAGGAACCGCTCTCCGCTCTCTTGTTGCACTCGTTCTTCTTTTCTGTCACTTCGCTAAAAAGCCCCCAAATCCCAGCTCCAAGCTCCAACTCCTCTGCTCCACAGCAACCACTTCGAAACCAAAATGCCCGCTCAATTCGCCCTGCACGGAAACGTTGTCTCCACCGTGAGTTTGATGGGAACGAATCGAGGCGCTCAATGGTCACACGGTCCCGACGACCTGGGTGGCAGGCACCGGCGCACCGGAGTTGTGTCTGCATCTACATTCGGATGGCTGCGCAACGGTCATCTAGCGTCGCATAGGCGGTGCGCTAGAATTGTGACCAGGTGACCTTTGGACAGTCTAGACGTGGCCATGCGCTTGGAGCGCATGACGCCTACTCGTCTCAGAAGCGGGCCAGCTCGATTGGAGCTCGATTCCGTGGTAGATTCGAGTGGGTCGCCAGGACCTTCGAACAGCGTTATCCTGGATGATAACGCTTGACTCCACCCAGAAGTCTGGATGCAAGGAGTACATGGTGGGGTCAACCCATCTGGTGTCATGGCAGTTTCAGGAGCGCAGTGGGATTGATTCCAGCTGTCACCATTGTGTGTGCTCGCTGTGTTTATCTCGTCCTCGCTGTGTGAACCTACTGCCACAGTCCACCTGCAAATGCAGACACCTCCATCCCATGGCCTAACTGTTCTTCCTCGCCCTATACAGTCGAGGACTCTCTAGCTGACACTCAGTCGGTCAACACTGCGCGTATCTGCATTGCCGAGGCGCAGCTCGAGAATGAGGTCGAGTTCGTCAACCACGACTTCAAGCTCGTCTGGTCTGAGGAGTGGCGCAAGCACCAGCCCTTCAACCAGATGCCCTACATGCTGAACAAGGACACTGGGTACACGATCTACGAGTCCCGTGCCATCGCCAAGTGTGAGTCAGAATCGGAGTCCGACCGGCTGTCGTGACCGAGCCGGCTGTTCGTCACCGAGGTCCGCCCCCACACCGAGGTCCGACCCTGTCATGGTGCTGACCTCAGACCTGATGGCGAAGTACAAGAAGACGGACCTGATGCCCCCGATGTCCGAGACGGAGAAGTACGGCACGTTCGAGCAGGCATCGTCGGTCGAGGAGAACGACTTCGACGCCCACGCGGGCCAGCTCGCCGCCGAGCTCATCTGGGCCCCGGTGTACGGCAAGCAGGCCGACCCCAAGCGCGTCGAGGACCTCAAGGCCAAGCTCCAGAAGACCCTCGAGGGCTACGAGCGCGTCCTCACCAAGCACACCTGGGTCGCCGGTCCGGAGATGACTATCGCCGACCTGTTCCACCTCCCCAACGGCACCCTCGCCGTCCTCAAGGATGCCGCCCCCGGCCTCACCGACGGTACTCTCCCCCACGTTACCGCGTGGTGGGCCAAGCTCTCCAACCTCCCCAACTGGAAGAAGATCGAGGGAGAGGCCCTGGAGGCCATGAAGGCTATGGGCGCTCACAAGTAAGCGCGCAAGCTTAGAGCAGATCGTAGTTGAAGAACGTCCCTCTTGGAGCGGGCGAAATGCAAGTAAAGTGAGAAGAAGCAGTTCAGTTGCTGTCAGTGGTTCAGATGCTGTAGCACCGAAAATGGCGCACGGATTGGAGCACCCCGCTATATCAGCATCGGTTCCACATTTCAGCTTCCCCGAGATCCACGGGACGGTCTTACCCGCATCAATGACACCGCCAAACGACTGAACAGTATCTCGCGTGACTGCTTCGAGTACGGCGCGTACGGCTTGAGGGACGCTTCTCAGACGCTTACAGCTTCTCGCCTGCCGCCTGCTCTTGTCTGGTTCGTGTGTCAACGTCAACGTGAGGCAGTGCCTCCATCGATGTGGCCCGTGTGTTGAGACTGGGGGAGACGTCGCCCGGCTCGGTAGGCCCAACGCCCTCCACGTCTGACGCCACTTGGCTGACAGCCTCGGTGAGTATCAGCCACCTATGATCTGGCGCGCCCGATGCGCCTTCCGTCGGAGTCAGTAGTCGCAGATAGCGCAGTCAGTTCTGAGGCCGAGATAGCTATAACTCAATCTGTGCCGCCGACGCCACGAGCGGACACTTTAAACCGAGACCGCAGCTCCGAGGGCGTCGGAGGCGGGATGCCGACATGTTGCGGCTTATCCGGTCTCGTCCCCCGTCACGGCTGTCAAGGCGCCTCATGCCGAGCAAGAGCGAGTGGCGCTCTGTGTTCTTCGGCCCCGATGCACAGTCCGAAGCACAGCCTCGGAGTACGGGAATCGACAAACGCTAGCCTGCAGAACGGGGGGCATGTTAGCTCGATTTGAGATGATGCGGGGGCGCGGAGATCCTCTTGCGCTGGTAAAGTGCCGCCGAGATCTGGGTGCTGCGTTGAAATGAGGGTGGCGCCCTTGGTGACCTCATCTGATGAGCGAGTGTGATCTGATGAGGTAGCGGCAAATCCTTCCAGAACATCTTGCGAAAAGATCTGCCGCCAGATCTCTGAGAGCTCACTTCAACTCCATCGGAGATGAGAGGGTGGAGACTGCGCTGCGATCAGACATGGAGGGATGGTGATCCTTTGCTGTCGCATAAAGGGGAGCGTGCTGAATCCACACAGACATGAAGGAAGGCCGGGAGGCGCAATGAGCCGCAGCCTCGGCAGAGGTTGCAGCATTGGAGGCAAGAACTGAAAGGGTTGATGAAGCCTTCTGAATAGCGGTAACGTCGGATTCTTGCCTGTCTGGTCAAGCACCAGACAGTAATGAATGGTCTGCTTGAAGGGGTGTCCGCTTCAAAGCCACGATAGGAATCGAGATCTTGAGATGAAGAGGTTTCCAAACGCGGAACGAGGCTGAGTTGGCTGCGTAGTCCCAGCGATCGACAGCGATGGGCGACCGATCAGCTTCAGCAATAATTGAAGCTTCTCCGTCCACACAATGCCTTGACAACTCGACCAGCCACACCGACAAAGTACTCGAGTATCCATTTAGATCGGTACCTGTGTTAAGTGAACGGTCTGATCCGTCTGATATCAAACTCTGCACGAAAACTGTGCTGCGAACAACGGCGACTTATCGAGCTGCTGAGAGAATCTGAACGCAAGGATTGCTGTTGCCGGGCTCGTAGCGGCTAAAATAGCGATAGGCATAAGCTGACAAGTGTATGAGATTGGGGGCGAGAACAGCGAAAACACACCACTGCAACAAGGTGGACCACGAAAGTGGAGGCCGAAATCAGAATTGATGCCGAGATGCCACATGCCACTTGGGCCGGCGCCAAATCGGAGTTTCGCCTCGGACAGTTTCGTCCTGCGCCACGTCATTCTGCACGTTTTGGTATCACGCCCGTCTTTCCAAACTGCTTGCTTTTCCTAACGACTTCGAGACTGCGTCCAACACTCGACCACCTCGACACCACCGACCGTCCGACAAAAAAGAGCAAGATGTCTTTCCAGCCTCCCGCTCAGCACGAGCAGTTCCAGCACATTCTCCGTCTCCTTAACACCAACGTTAAGGGTACTGGTGAGAATCTACGCCCGATTGTTGTCCCCGGAAAGCGCGCGGATTCGAGATGGATTTAGGACGATGGACTTGCGCGCAGACGACGGACAGCAGATTGGAAGATCGCCCGAGAGTGCCGTGCTGACAGTTTACAGGCAAGGCCATGTACGCCCTCACCGAGATCCGTGGTGTCGGTCGCCGTTACGCCAACCTTGGTAAGTCGAAACGACACGAGAATCAGGGACCTCGAAGGACAATGCTGGACAGTTTGGTGGAACGGAGAGGATATGAAGAGGACTACGGAATTGCGCGAATACGACGTGGGAAGGCTAGATGTGGACATCGTGATGCGCTGGATCGACGCGAGGATTTGTGCGTGGGAGGTTCAGGTTGGAATTGTCGCGTGCATGTGTGAATCGACGGATCAGAAGTCGCCAAACCGTCCAGACGAGTTTCGACGAGGTCCCAAAGTTTCTCTGCGTTATGCCGACCGCGTCAATATGCTAACGCTTTCCAGTCTGCAAGAAGGCCGACATTGACATGAGCAAGCGTGCTGGTGAGCTCAACTCCGACGAGCTTGAGCGCATCGTCACCATCATGCAGAACCCCACCCAGTTCAAGATCCCCACCTGGTTCCTCAACCGTCAGCGTGACCTCACCGACGGCAAGGACTCGCACGTCCTTTCCAACCAGATCGACCAGAAGCTCCGTGACGACCTTGAGCGCCTCAAGAAGATCCGCTCGCACCGTGGTCTCCGTCACCACTGGGGTCTCCGTGTCCGTGGTCAGCACACCAAGACCACGTAAGTTTCTTCAAGCTGGGAATCGTCAGGAAGAAGTTGGCAAAGGGACGCTGTGGATACTGCTTGGTTTCTCCCGTGCTGGAATGGGAAGTCATGCCGCCAGTCAATCACTCGTCCATTTTGCCCCCTCCTGATGCTCAGCTTTGGCTACCCCCGTACATAAGCTAACAATCACAGCGGTCGTCGTGTTGGTGCCCGCACCATCGCCACCAAGGGCAAGAAGTAAACAGTTCTCGTTCTTTGTGGTTTTGCGTAGGGAGTCGTGGGCGGCAGAGTCGGGTGCAAGGAAACACCTGGCTTTGTGTTCATATATGGGATGCACGCATTCTGATACACTAGCAATTACCTACCGCTGCATGTTGTTTGATTCTTGTTGCCTCTTGCTGCAGATATGTGTGTGTGGTCGAGAAGTTGACTCTGGTCTCTCCTCGTGAGAACTGACTATTGCGAGAGTCGATGCTGCACCACCACGCTCCAGTGCTTCGATGAAACTGATACCATGAAAGAGAACTCTATACCTATAGCTATGGTTTATACTATCCGTGATCTACTCAATGCCTGAGCCTGTCGAGCTTCTCGCCCACCGTCTTCGCGACGAGCTTGGCGTCGACCTCGGCGTTCTGGTATGTCAGTTCATGTCGCAGCGATGCCAACTCACGTCCTTGTTCGGTCCGCGGGCTTTCTCGTGGTTCATCCACACGACCTCGGTCAGGACGCGGTCCTTCTGGATGACGGTGTGGTCAATATTGAGCATGTTGAGGAAGATGCCGTAGTCGCCTGTACACAGTTAGCTTTCGACACTACCTGCCCACAGCTCACGGTTGAAGCCGCCCTCCTCGAAGATCTCAATCACGCTTCCCTCGGGACTCATCCACGCCGCCTCGAACAGTTCCTGTCCATGGAGACCGACGACGACGTCCGTCTTCGCAAAGAGCGACACCTGCTGTTCCTTCGTCATGGACTTGAGCTGCGTGACGTGCACCTCGGCGCGGGGCGTCAGGTGCTTGAGCTCAGCGACGAGCGCGTCGTGGCTCTCCTTGCTCAGCATCGGTTTCGTGTCGCGCTCAATGTACACGACGACCGGCAGCTTGTACCGCCCCACTGTGGGCGTGACGTCGCCGACGGCCTCGAGCATGTTGCGCCGCAGCGGCTCCCAGAATGTCTTGGGGGCCGGCATCGTGTGCGCCTCGCCGTTCATCTTGCCCCAGCGCGCTGTGTCGCGCCCGATGCTGTGCGCCGCCCACCGGTCGACGATGACGACGCGCTCGAAGATGTAAGTCAGGTCAGACTCGGCGCGGTCAGCCCAGTTGCGCGCGTCCTCGATCGGCACGTCTGGGAACAGTCGCGCAAGCGTCCAAATATCTGCCGTCAGCTAGGAACACGTTCTGCAGCTCACTCCGTCCCTTGTCGTCCTTGAAGCCGTCGTCCGAGCAGCGCGCAAAGATGATACGAGACGGCATAACATCAGACGCATCGCCGTTGTTCTTCTCCCCGACCGAGGCGACGGCCCGCACACTCGGCACGAGGGCCTCAGGGAACAGGTGCTCGTAGAAGGCAAGGTAGCCCTCCTTTCCTGGCGGGTCGTTGAAGATGTACTGCTGTCAGCTACATTGCAAGTCTTCGCAAAGCTCACAGTGACACCAGGGAGGCGAACGGCGCGGTTGCCTAGCTCGCTCCGGGCCAAGTCGCCACCGATGACCGTCGACCACCGATCGGGACCAGCGGCAGGGTGATGGTTGCCCACGCCAGAGAGGATCGTTCGCGTCTCGGGGATGAGGGCCGCAGCGGTCTCGTCCGCGGACACGGCGTACAGGATACCACCGTTCAGGTAGAGGTTGCTGAAGACGGAGTAGCCGGGAAGACCTGCTGTCAGCTTTATTCGCCAAAACCCCAGCTGTATGAGACTGGTACACATGGGCGCACAGGACAGCCCCTTCTGTGCGCACATGTGCGCATGACCGTGCGACGCGCCGCATGCTCACGGCACTCACCTCCATCAAACGTCGTCCACGGAATGGCCTTGCGAAGGTCGACGAACTGGCTCTTGCGCGTCTTCTCGTGCTTGGTGCCTACACTCGTGGACGAGCTCCGCATGTCCTGATGCTGATGCGGGGCGACTGGCGGGGCGAGGCCAGCGAGCCCAGCGTGAGCCGCCGAGCTCCCCGTCTTGGGGGTTACGCCGCCGATGATGTCCTGGAAGCGGTTCTCGGTCCGGTCCTTCTTGAACCAGTACAGCACGGCGAGCAGTAGCGCGCCGAACAGGACAAACCGCAGCGGCCGGCTTCGCGGGCTCGTCAGGGGGTGACGGTGGCCGACCATCGTCTCTGTCGCGTTGCTGGCGCCTGGATTTTGGTCGATGATACGTCGTGCGTGTCGAGAAGGTGAAAGGGAGGCCGTGCTAGCGCTCTGCCGCGTCGACCTGGCTCGAGGAGCTGTCGTTTGGAAGGTGAGGAAGGATGCAGGTGTCGGAAAATTGGGCTCGAGAGAGTTCACGCATTCACGCTTCAGGCACAACACAGGCATTAAGGTTACAGGTTACAGGAATCCCCAGCCAACCCCAGCCCGTCCGCAGACGTTCCTCCACGGGCTCCACGTGACGACAGGGTCCCACTGATCACTGGCTACAAGCTTATCTTTTCAGATCTCGGGTGCGCACGTCCTTATGCATGGCATTTCCTGATATGCGGGGCAAGTGCGACATGTACGACTCTTTGTGTCAACACTGAAGGAAAAACAGACATTGCGTGCTACTGCTACAACATACACTAGTCGCTGTCGTCCCCTAGGAAGTCCATGACGGCTGCCGTGGCTCCATCCTCGTCAGGGGCTGGAGGCGCGCTATCCCGCGTCCCTCGGCCCGCCCGGGTCCGCGAAGGGCGATCAGCGCTGAGGCCGTGCCCTTGCTCATACTCCCTCACGTCCGCTGCAAAGGGTGTCAGCTTCCGCCAGTAACGATCGTCATCGACCTCGGTGAATACTTGATGGTTGTGCAGACTCACATAACTCCTGCGCCAGCTCTCGGCGGGCCTTCAGCGACTTGGCCTTGCCCAGGGTAGGATTGCCCTTCATGCCGAGGTCGCGGAGGATGTCTTGCACATGGCGAATCTGGTCGCGTGTCTGGGGTCAGTAGATGTACGTCTTTGAAACGTCACCTCAGGATGATCCTTAAACTCCTTCGTCCTGAGTAGTCAGTTAAAGTGACATATCTTGCAACTTACCATTGTTTGCGCACTCCACAGGCGACTACTATGCGCTTGAGATCGGCGAGCTTGGCTTCGTCTGGTGACAGCTGAGAAGGTCAGCTCATCCTCCACGACCACTCACCTCTTCGTTCGGATCCTTCTTCGTCCTTCCCTTCGAAGCCTTCGGCGCAGCTTTAGACCTCTTCGGTTTCGGCGGCTCATCGTAAACACTAGACATCGCGCTCGACGCTGGGGACGGTGGGGCAGCCTGAGGGTCAGCACAAGCACGCGTGGAAGCTCACATCCTCGTCATCATCCGGATCAGAAATCACTTCACTCTTTCTCTTGCCCTTCCTCCCAGCATTACTCGGAGATGGCCCCTCATCGTCAGGGTCAGCACGCTTGGCTTTGCTCTTCTTCGGCGGGGCCGGCTCATCGTAGACACTGGACATCGACGATGCGGGGGAAGGCGGCTGCTGTCAGCTTCCGTGACCAGGACTCATGCAGCTCACCTCATCCGCTTCGCTTTCCTCATCGGACTCGACAGACTTCTTGCTCGTAGTCTTCTTCGCAGGCTTCGCAGGGGAGGATGCCGCGGAGCTCTGGACGTCGGAATTCCTCATGACTTTGCCCTTTCTTGCCTTGACTGGCGACTCCGGCTCATCGCTTGCATCCTCGTCCTCATCGTAAGATTCCTGCTCGTCAGCTAGGACCCCAGAACCACCAGCTCACAATGGCCTCAGTGATCGCTTCCTTGACCTGTTTCCGGATATCTTTAGCGCTGTCGAGCGCGTCTTCCTCCAGTCCCATCTTGAGAGCGACCAGACGGCGCGCCTCGCCCATGGTGAGCTCGCCCTTGTCGAATGCGCCGGAGCGCATCGCCTCGCTCACAACACTCTTGGCCGCTGCCGGGAGTTTCTTGGCGAGTTTGGCGTCCATGGTGGATGTGGTGAAGAGAAGGTTGGGCTGGGAGGCGCGAAAAGTTGGAACCAAACAATGTACCTCTCCAGCACGCGTCGAGGTCTACATGAGCGCGTCACCTGTCGCACACGAGCAGCCCAAAAGTTAACGCCGCACACACACCTCGATATGCTTACTGTGGCTGAGATGCATTCCAATACCTTGTTGCTCTGCTCTGAGCGGGCAGCCTGAGATGCATGCATACGACAAAGCTGTGTGTCGACCTTCCTCGGTCCGGCAAGCTACAGTGGAGGGACCGAAAATAGGCATGTGTCAGGTCCCGCATGCCTCCACTTTTTCGCCAAATAGGCCAGCGAAAGATGGTCGACTCCGATTTCAGCTGGCACTCGCTGGCTGGGCTGCGATCAGGCCGCCGCTGAAGACGTACGCACGTTGACTTTTCCAACAGCTCGACTAGACACAACAACAAAAATGAGTCTCCCCACCGTTGAGGAGGTTCAGACGGCGATTTTGAAGGCGCTCGATGCGTCGCCCGACGGAAAGATCAACGACACCCGCACGCTCGTCGTGAACGGCAAGGAGCTCGGCGAAAATGGACAGACGCTGGTCAAGGCGGCCCTCGACTCGCTGCAGACCAAGGACGTGAGTGCGATGAGCACTGGGGCGGTGTGCCAGGTGCTGGCTGAGGAGAGTTTGGTGATCCGCCAGACGCCAGCTGTTACTCCACAGCTCATTTTGTCCATGTTGTAGCTGACATGACAGATGGTCACGCAGGAGCAGATCACGGAGACAGTCTACGGCCTGACGGAGGAGGGAGCGCAGATCGCGAAGGAGGGATCGCACGAGTACCGCGTGTGGGAGGCGCTGCCGCCGAAGGGTGGAGCTGCCGTCTCGATCCCGGATCTGAAGAAGGCGCTCAGCGACGACGTTGTCAAGATCGGCCAGGGCCGTGCGTTCAAGAACAAGTGGATCGCGAAGGACGGTGCTGGTTTCGTTCGTGCCGTGGACAGCGTGCAGGACGAGACGGCGGCGCAGCTCAAGAACCTGACGTCGCTGGCCGAGAAGGACCTGAAGGAGTTCCAGAAGCGCAAGCTTGTTGTTCCCAAGTGAGGTTATCAAGCCTGACCTTCAAGCTGACAACGCAGGAAGCTGATTCACTACAAGGCCGGCAAGGGCAAGGAGTTCGCGCTCGAGGTCAAGACGTACGAGACGGACCTGACTGTCGACATGCTCCAGAGCGGCGCGTGGAAGGACGCGAGCTTCAAGCAGTACAACTTTGCCGCCATGGGCGAGCAGCCGAACGGAGGCGCCCTCCACCCCCTCCTCAAGGTGCGCGAGGAGTTCCGCCAGATCTTCTTCGACCTTGGCTTCACCGAGATGCCGACGGACCACTTCGTCGAGTCCGCCTTCTGGAACTTCGACGCTATGTTCGTCCCGCAGCAGCACCCCGCGCGTGAGCTGCAGGACACCTTCTACGTTGCCGGTGAGTTAAAGAGCGTGCGAAGCGAGTACTACCCTCAACTTCGACGAGGAAAGCAGATGGTTGCTACGTTCAGCTTCCGTGAGTTTTCTTCCAGCTGACATCCAGACCCCGTCAAGGCGGACATCCCGGACGAGCCGTACTACGAGCGGGTCGCCAAGACGCACGAGGTGGGCGGCTACGGCTCGATCGGCTACCGCGCGCCCTTCTCGCGCCTGGAGAGCGAGAAGCTGCTGCTCCGCACGCACACGACGTCAGTGTCGACTGCGATGCTGTACAAGATTGCAAACCAGCCCGGCGGCTTCAAGCCCGCCAAGCTCTTCTCCATCGACCGCGTGTTCCGTAACGAGGCGACGGACGCGACGCATCTCGCCGAGTTCCACCAGGTCGAGGGTGTCGTTGCCGACTATGACATTACGCTGGGACACCTTATTGGTAAGTCGGAGACACGAGCGGAGCGAGTGACCCAGGCTTTGATGAAGGGAGAATTCAAGCGTCACTCGGAGGACAAGCTCACAGTCGCATACCGGACCAGAGCTAACAACCAGGCTTCATGAAGGAGTTCTTCGCCAAGACGGGCAACCACAAGCTCCGCTTCAAGCCCGCGTTCAACCCCTACACCGAGCCGTCCATGGAGGTCTTCTCCTGGCACGAGGGTCTCGGCAAGTGGATTGAGATTGCCAATGTGAGTGCGGCCGCTCGGCCGGTAGGCCCGAGCCCTCGGCACCTCTCTCCGACCCAACACAGGTTCGGGAGGGGAGGTGTGAAACGAAGCTAGCCTCTGAGAACTTCCAGCTGACGACCAGTCCGGTGTCTTCCGTCCTGAGATGCTCGAGCCGATGGGCCTCCCGAAGGGCGTGCGCGTCCTCGGCTGGGGCATGTCACTAGAGCGCCCGACCATGATCAAGTACAAGATCCAGGACATTCGCACGCTCGTCGGACACAAGACGGACCTCGCGGGCGTCAAGAGCGCCGCGGCCGTGCGTCTCGACAAGGGCGATGACTAGGTACAACTGCCGTCAGGCAGTTGTGCGCTGTTGTGCGCTGTAGCGCTGTTGGACAGTAGCGCGACAGGACAGGACTTGACAGGACTTGACAGGACTTGACAGCCCCGGGCTCTCCGGATAGCGGAGATGCAGGGGTTAGACTTAGATGATGCATCACTTTAGCCAACCAAAATGCAATATGCCAGAATAAATGATATGTGTGAAGAGAGAAGCGTTAGAGGTCGTCGCGGTCGACGTAGAACACGATCGCGTCCTTGTTGCCCTTCCTGAGCACGGCAATGTGCCCGTCAATCAGCTCCTGCACCCTGATCTCCCTCCGCGGGTCATTCACCACGTCCCCGTTCAGCGTCATGCCCTTCGAGCTCACGATACGGGCCGCCTCGCTCCGCGCTTTCGTGAGGCCGTACTCGACCGCAAGCTTTGTGACGGGCTTGCCCTTGAGGTCTTTGCGGTGCACGCGGCGGAAACGCGGGTCCGAAGCCCCCGACTCGATGATCTCGAGCACTTGCGACGATTTCACGTCACGCAGTGACGGCGCGAAGAGGATGGTCGCGAGGAGCTCGGCCTGCGCCACACCCGAGGGGCCGTGGACGAGCTCGGTCACCTCACGCGCAAGGGTGCGCTGCGCGTGTCGGCTGCGGGGGTTCGAGCGGTGCTGCGCCATAACTGCCTTGATCTCGGCGGGGGGCAGGAGCGTCAGTACGTTCAGGTACTTTTCGACGTCGGCGTCGGTCGCGCGGAAGAAGAACTGTGAAACAGGTAAGCTAGAACCGAACGACAGCACTAGCTTTGCGGGAGCCGGCTGTACTCACCTGGTAAAAATCCGAGACACTCGTCCGCGTCTCGTCGAGCCAGACCGCGTTGCCGGCGCTCTTGCCGAATTTCTCCCCGCTCGCTGTCGTGAGCAAGGGAATGGTGATGCCGAACGCGGGTTCCTCCTCCTTCTTCACCTCCTTCTCCTCTTCCTCCTTCTTAACAGCGGCGGCCTGCTTGCCCTTCGTCTTCTTCCCTCCCTCCTGCGCCTTGGCGGCTTCGGCCTCGGCCGCGGCGGCCGCTCGCGCCGCAGCTTCTGCCTGCGCGGCATCAGCCGCTCGTGTCCGCTTGATCATGTCGATGCCGGCGACGATGTTGCCCCACTGGTCGCTTCCGCCGAGCTGCACGCGACAGCCCTCAGAGCGGTAGAGCACGTTGAAGTCGTGCGCTTGCAGGAGCTGGTACGAGAACTCGGTGAAGGAGATGCCGGCGTCGGAATCGAGGCGCGTCTTAACTCTGGTCGTCAGTTGAGTCCGGATGCGATACAACTGTCCCCGTTCGCGGTGCAGGGGCTTACTCACGACTCGCGCGCCAGCATGGTATTGACACGGGCATACTTTCCGACATCGCGCAGGAAGTCGAGGAAGCTCATGTCCTTGAACCAGTCATGGTTGTTGAGGACGCGGTACCCCTTCTCCGTCGCTTCGGGGTCGTAACCCCTCTTCTTGGCGTACTCGATACCGCGTTCGAAGAAGCGGTTCACCTGGTTCGTGATACCGGCGACATTGGTCGCGAGCGTCTCCTTGTCGAGCGCGTTGCGCTCCGTTGACCGTCCTGAGGGGTCGCCAATTGCACCGGTCGCACCGCCAATCTGTCGTCAGCTAACAGAGACGCCAAGCGAGCTTACCAGAGCCAAGGCATGGTGTCCGCGAGCACGGAAGTGGAGTAGTCCCAGGAGGGGAAGGAGGTTGCCGACGTGCAGCGACGAGGCGGAAGGATCGACACCGGCGTAGACCGTCGTCTTGGAGTCGAGATGGGAGCGGAGTTCCGGACTACAGTCAGCAAGCGTCGAGTGGTGAAGCAACGCGGGTTAGTAGACTTTGGTCGTTCCGAGGAAGACACCATGACGGCACAGCCAAGCTCGAGGAAGACGAAGACTCACCTCGTCGTAGCAGCTACGAAACCTCGCTCATCAAGCTCGTCGAGAACGTTTGGCGCCGGCTTGGTCGAGAGCGCCCTGAGACCGACTGGCCGCAGAAGGCCCGGGGTCAGCAGACGTCTCCGTAATGCGAGCATGCCGCTGTTTCTGGGTGTTCGATCGAGCAGTCACTCGGCTCAGGCCGGAGATGACCTCCACTTCTTGAGACTGGACGACGGATCATCTGGACTTTTTGCTTCCGCGTCTCGGCGGTGGCACTCGGAGGGCTCGTGGCGATCGCATGGGAGAGTGAGCGGAGTTCGACGCTCTAACGCCCTTCTCTTCTGTGTACGCCTCCATATGCTCAGCCAATTGGTATTGAAGGCGAAAAGAGCACGAGAGCATAGATCTGAGGGATCTGGGCTTCCATCTGCGTGCAAGGTTTTGCGATGAGCTATGGCAGATGTTAGAGCAGAAAGCCCCGGGTGTCTGTCGGAAATGCACGCCTGAACTCGGAAATACTCCCATCGATAACGGGTGCGGCAGTGGAGGCACTTCGTTCCGATGTTTATACGACTGTGACGCTCCGTGGCGCAGCAGATATGCAGCGGCGTTCGATCAGAGCAGAGCAGAAGTCGATCGACGGCCAAATAGGTGCTCGATACTTGCGGGCTTCCGAGCGAGCAATAGGTGCCTGTGCCTTCCTCTCTGCTGCCCGCAATGGTCATGACACCAAGCACACGAGCGACAACTATTAAATACGGTCAAGCTTCGGGCCAGCACGGGACAGCGCGGTATTGACCTTGCGGCATTCGGTACTTTCGCCTACGCCGAGCTCGCTACCGCAACCAGACGCCGTCTCCGAAGTAGGCGAGCGAGGGAGCGGATGCGGACTACGGCGGCGACTACCTCGACGTTGTGGAACCAATCGTGGGCGTCTAAGTACAGCAGTGCACGTCCCAGTAAAGTGAGACGGTGAAAGACCCACAACGTCAGAGGCTGGCTATGAATTCTTCAGCCAGCTGAATGATGCGTCAGACCACATGAACGCACATGAGCACCTCTGCACCGCTGAATGCCTTATCTGAGCAGGGCGAGGTGACCGGGTGGGACGCCTCGTCCCTGTGCTTGCCCGAATCGAGGAGCGTTTGGGACTGCCAACCAACCAGACTCTGCGAAGAGCGTTCCAGTTCCGCAAGATCCTGGCTACCCTCGCTCCTGTGCTGTCACCTGGGCGCACCTGGACGAGTTCGCCAGGTCTAGACTTGTGCCAACCGAGAAAAGTTTTACCTGCAGAACTTCTAAAGGAATGAGGACAGAGGGCGCCTGAACCTGAGCACTGTTTGTTTATTCTCTGCGTCCCTCTCGCTTAAATGGCGTCTGCGGCGGATTGCGGCGTCGGCATCCTCCCCGGTGCGACCTATCAGAAGATTCTTGTGACCGATCTCGTCTTCAGGAAGAGGCTCGATGATCAGGCAGCTGGGGCAAGGACGAGTCACGTGATGCAGTGAGGCCCAATGACAAGCGTTGGATGATGACGGGCGTAGGTGAAATAGACGGCAGGGATTTCGAATATTTCAATGAATCAGCTGGGACCAGGTGGGTGTTGAGGACGGGCTAGACCACGCGCCGATCCGCTTCCGTTGATATGTGGGTCGTCGCGGCGAATACGCGGATTCGGCGAGGACGAGCTCGGAGGTGTGCTGCTCTGGTGGCATTGGCGAGGGGGGTTTCCCACGGGTGCGAGAGCTGATACCCGACTGTCGGAGACCCCCTAACGGCCCCAGGCTTCTGACCCAGGCGTGCGCCCAACATGCCAGGCAGCCCCTGTAATGGAGTTAAGCACCTGGCCGGCTGGACTCGAGTCTGATCCTTCCCTCGGTCACCACCGTTCTGGACACACTCTTGGCTTATTCCTCCCACCCTCTTCAGCACTGAGGCACGCCTTCCCTCTCACCCTCCATTACGCCTTCTTTCGTCCTCACCATTGAATACTCTCTCTTCACCATCACCCCATTCCTCTGCCCCCGAGAGACATTCATTCGCACCCGCATGAGCAAGTAAAACGCAACGCTCTGTCCTACTTCCGATTCACCTACCCCACCCTCCCCCCAAAACGAAAACCGGCCAGCCCGCCAACGGCTGAGCTAATTCAAGTCCGCACTAGCGTCTGATTCCATCCACCACCCACACCACACCAGCTACCAAGCATCCTGTCTCGGACATCTGGCTATGTCCCAACCCCCGCCTAATCGTTATCATCCTGGTAACAAGGGTGTACCCCCTCTGCCCCCGTTTCCTCAGCTGCTTCATCTGAAAGACTCCTCACCGGCGACTCAGCAGCGGTCTCGCTCATTTTCTGGAACCGACATTGCAGACGACGACTCGACGCATCAAACCATGAGCCCCGAAGAAGAGGAGGTCGACGACACCCCCCAGAAGCCCGACATCAAGAAGGAGAAGAAGCCGCACGCGACTCGCCGCCGCGTTGTCCAGAGCTGCTCAGAATGTCGCCGCAGGTGAGTTCGGGGTTCTGAATCTAGGAATCTTCCTTACCGGTGCCATCGGCCCGAGCTGGGAGTCACCCCGGCGTACCTTGAGCCATAGCTGGAACCTTGTGCTGACGCCGCCTCTCCCGTCTACCTTTGACGCTGCAGAAAGATCAAATGTGACAAGAAGTGAGTCCCCGCAATGCTCTGCGTGCAGATGCAGTTCGCTAACGAACCACCAGGTTTCCATGCGGTATGTTACTCACACTGAGCTAATAATTTTCGATTCTAGTACTGATCGGTCCCAGGACCCTGCATCCTTCGTCAGGACCAGGCTCGCTGTCATGAGGTCGGAACAGTGAGTAAGCTGCGCCATGTTTCGTGCATCGTGGGTGTGGATGCTGACGTACAATCAGGCGGAGAAGCAACTAGTCGCTTCGTGAGTAATCAGGTTTGGGGGCCCCCTCTTACCTCATCATCGGGCCGATGCCAAGTGCCGTGGCTGACTGTGTCAAGATCCAACTATGCGACCACCCAGGACCTCGCGAACCTCGCCCACCGCGTGGACGCCCTCGAGGCTGCCCTTGTCAAGTCGGGAGCCATCGTGCCGTCCGACCTGGAGCAGTTCCTTAAGCAGATCCAGAGCAAGCTGCCGCCTCCGGGCTCTGGTGGGCAGAACCCTGCCATGGGCAACCCGCAGGACGCGGACGATGTCTCTGATACGGAAGGAGCGGCCCTCACTCTCGAACACCTGGCGTTCGGCCGTGCGCGCGTCGATGGCGCTCACTCCATCCCACACTTCAACGGCATCAGCCGCAAGGTCTCGTCTGTTAGCAAGCAGGCGCCCGGACATGGCTACCACCTCGCTCGTCAGACTCAGCAGACTGGCGACTCGCCATCCATGTTCTCGCCGAGCAATGTCAAGTCAGAGTTCAGATTCCTTGGCAACACGGAAGAGCGCGGCGCTCGTATCTCTGCTCTTGCGGAGCAGCTGACGCCCGTCGAGGTGTTCGACATGTACACCCGCAAGACCGACCTTGTTTTGAACGCCCTGACCCGCTGCCTGCCGTCGCGCGAGCTTGGTGAGCTGATGGTCAACGCATACCTCAACCGAGTGGACTGGCTTCACAGATGTGAGTTATCTTTCGTGCGTGCCCAACTCACACCCAGTGTTCCATGTCCCGACGTTCCTCAGCCAGTGCCGTGACCTTTGGGCTCTGCCGCCCGACCGCGTTGTCTACGAGATCTCAACGCCCTTCCTGGCTGTTTACTTTGTCGTCATTACGCTCGGGCTGTACTTCATGGACTCGGACGAGGCGGCCAAGCACTTCAGCTCCCGGGAAGAGGTGCAGTCGCTCTGCGACCAGTGGTACGCCGCTGCGCGAGCATGCCAGTGGTCCAGCGACTTCATCGCCAACCACACGCTCGAGAACCTGCAGGCTACCATTCTCATGAGCGTCCTCATGAACAACCGTGACCGTGCCGATGCCGCTTGGGCTCTTCTCGGTGCCGCTATCAAGATGGCCCAGGGACTGGGTCTTTCTCGACTCGGAGCCGAACAGCAGAGTGTCGACGGCCGACCACTGCCGATGTGGAAGGGACGCTGGGAGAGTCTGATTCAGCGTGAGGTCGGACGCCGCATCTGGTGGAACCTGGTCTTCCTCGACTGGTCGCTTGCCCCGAGCTACAACTTTGCGTGCAGCATTCACCCCGACCAGATCAAGTGTGCCCTGCCCGCCAACATTGAGGATGAGGACCTCATCGACGGCCAGCCGATCCGCCCTCAGCCTGAGAGCGTGCGAACACGCATGTCGTTCCAGCTCGCCAAGCTCAAGTTTGCCGAGATTAGCCAGCGCCAGATCTGGCAGGCGAACAACAACAACCACCCGCAGCGTCGATTACCGACACGACCGGAGTCAGCTAAGGGACACTACATGTCATGAAACAGCTCACTGGTGTCCTCCGCGAGCGTACGGCTCAAAGGAGGGTGTTGCAGCAGATTGCGCGATAGCTCCTGCGGCCTTGCGGCAGCTGACTCACGACGTTGGTCCGCATTCATACTGAGGCGTTGGGACGGAAAGTGAGGCATGAGGACCGCCTCACGACCCCGAGTTCCCTGGTCGAGCTCATTTCTGTTCGCCTGACTTCTGTCAGCTTTGTCAGCTTTGCGGAATCTCAATTCAGCTCACGCACTGTGCTCCTCGTTCACTCTCCCGCAACGGTGGTTGTGCTTTGATGTCCACATGCTTGGGGTCAGTTTCACAGGGATAAGGACGCCAGCTGACCTTTTTGGGGCGGTACAAGAAGGTTGAGCGTGCGAACACGCATGTCGTTCCAGCTCGCCAAGCTCAAGTTTGCCGAGATTAGCCAGCGCCAGATCTGGCAGGCGAACAACAACAACCACCCGCCGTACTCGTTCATTCTCAGCGTCGACCGCGAGCTGCGCAAGGCCATGCTCGAGCTGCCTGCATTCTTCCAGCCGGACAACAGCAACGGACCGACGTCGAACGATCCGAAGGCGCTCGTCGAATACTACGAGAAGATCACACTCAGTCTTGCGATCCACTCGCGTATGCTGCGCCTCCACCGCCCGTGGCTGTCCAGGGGATACGAGGATGAGCGGTTCGCCTACTCGAAGGAGCAGTGCATCCGCGCCGCCCGTGCTTCGCTGCGCATGATGTCTGATAACAACGGTGTCGCGCCGTTCCTCGAGAAGTGGTGGATTCCGCTGTTCTACGTCACGGTGTCGGGCATGGTCGTCATCATCGACCTGCTCAAGACGGCGAAGCGCGAGATGAAGAGCAAGGTGACGGAGGAGAAGATTGCCGAGGTCAAGGGCGCCGTGGACCAGATGCGCAAGGTTGCGCAGTCGTCCATCCCCGCCCAGTCGGCAATCAAGGTCATGGACTTCCTCATGGCCGAGGTCGAGGAGCGTCGCCGGCCAGGCCAGCACGGCGTCAAGCGCAAGAGCATGCACGAGGCCGACGGCGACGACGAGGAGCACAACCTGCAGCGCGCTGTCAAGCGTCTTATCCGCCAGGCGCAGCTTGAGGCGGACAGCCCAACAGGCTCGCAGCCCGGCAACAGCGCGTTCGTCTCGCCCGCAGCCGACCCGGGTGTCATCACGCAGTCGCCCTCTGGCAACGACAGCACGCCGACGAACGAGAAGCCCGTCTTTGGCGCGTACCCCATGCCTCCGCCGAACCTGACGCCGACGCAGAGCGTGGCAGGCGACAACCCTGTGCAGCAGCAGCAGCTGATGAACCAGCAAGGCGGGTTCAACTTTGCGGGCCTGGACCCGGCAAACCTGGCTCAATTCGCGCGTTTCGACAACAGGGCGCTGCAGCCCTCTCAGCCGCAGCTCGACCCCGCCGTCGAATCAATGCTATCAGCCTACTTCCCGCCCCCGCAAAACCCGACGAACGGGACGAGCGAGCTGGGCCCCGCCGCGCAGAGCCAGGTGCCCGACGACTTCCTCAGCCGTGTCTTCTCGTTCTCGTGGGATAACAACGGCAACGGTGGCGGCGGTAATCAGCAGCAGAACCAGAACCAGAACCAGAACAACAATGCTCCCGGATCCAACAACCCGAGTAACACGAACACGCCCCAGAACGAGACGCCCAACGTGCCCCAGAACGTGAATGGGCCCAGGCCGCCGCAGCGCCAGGACTCCGTTACTGTGCCCGGGTACGGTGCGTTTGACTGGAGCGGGCACTCGTGGATGGCCTAAGCGCGCGAGCGCAGTGAGCGAAGCGAGCTGGTGCGCGCTGTGTTCGCCGCGCGCCGCCTGCGTCGCCTGTGTCCCCTGTTGAGCAGCGATGGCTCCGCGCGACCGATGGAGAATGTCGGGGGGTGAATGTGTTAGGCATAGTGTCATGAGAAGCGTGAGACAGAAAGCGCAGAGAGGGAGAGAAGAGACGTCGACTTGTATCACTCCGTGTACTGTAATACACCAGGTGTAGGGTATCCGCTATCCAATCCATAATAGAGTGCAGCCGTGTGTTTTGGCAGGGTAATGCATGTATTGAGCCGTGACTCGAGGTACGGGAAGGTGATTCCAGTGGAGATCTGACCGAGATTACGAGTGGGTACGCTGTGACCTACTTGCGGTGAAGGGGGTGGAAATCGCAGAGAGCGCATCTGTTTGTCAGTTAGCAGGTCCGAAGCCAGAGAACTGACCTGGAGGAGAGGATAGGGGAGGAGGAGGGTGCTGGTCGTCAGCTCAACGTTGGTTCGAGTACAGCATACAGCTTACCAGCCAGCAAGTGACGAGTGGGTGTCTGAGAGTCAGTTCGTATTCGAGATGGCAATCAGAACTGACAGTGATGGCTGGGTGTCAGCTTCAAATGGGGTTAGCTTAGCTCACCCGAGATGGCATCTGATGGTCAGCTATCACATGCAACTTCCAAAGCTGACTCGCGACAATGGCTGGATGTCAGCTCAGAACACTCTCTGCGTGATAGCTTACGAGCACCACAGAAGAAAGCGAATGCGCCTGGTGGTCAGTTGCTTCCAGAGGTCATAAACTTGCCGATTCGTGGTCGTCTGGCTGTCAGCTCAAAGCGGCCGCGGTAGCTCACCAGCACCTTGCGTGTAAGAATGGGCGTCTGAGCGTCAGTTTCCCTACTCCGGTTCTGAAGTGGCGGGTGATGTCTGAGATATCAGCTCTAGTAGGGCGGTGGGCAGCTCACCGCGGATCGGCGGAAAGACGAGATGGCATCTGATGATTAGCTATGGTTTGCACATCCGTGAGCTGACTTACTGTGGTGGCTGGATGTCAGCTCGAGTAATTCTCTGCGATGTAACTCGCCAGCACCGCAGAAAGAAAGCGCCTGGCGGTCAGTTTCCCCACCACCTACATCAACTTGCATATGTGTGGTCGTCTGGTTGTCAGCTCAACCGCGATTCCTAGCTCACCAGGACCGGGCGGGAAAACTCCGCGGGCAGGGCCGCAACTGCCAAGTCCTCGTCGCATAGATCTCTGGGTGTTGACTAGCCTGCGTTGTTTAGCTGGCAAGTGCCACGAACGGAAGGGAGTCTGTATATCAGTTACCAAAGGGCAGGGGGCAACTGACTGCTGGGGGAGATCGCTGCAGGTCAGCTGCGAAGCCGTTGTAGTAGCTCACGATTCGGAAGTCGAGAGGATAGCTGTCAGATCTGCCCGTGGGCTAACTGAAACGATCTGTAGTGCCTGGAAATCAGCTCGAAGGTCCATAATACATAGCTCTGAGGTCCGATGGGAGAACTCACTAGCGGAAATTCGAACAAGCTCTTGTGATCAGCTGTAAGCGAGCTGTACAGCTTCCTTCACACCGACACCTGGTCGTCAGCTCAGTCAGATTCCTAACGTGAGCTCGCAATGTGCCATTCCGGCCAAACATCCATCGGTCAGCTGTCGGAGTACGCGGCCACTGACATTCGAAGCAATCGCAGCCGGGCGGCAGCTGGCATCAGCTAGGCCGTGCGAGCTTTTCTCAGCTTACGAGATCACGAACAAGAACCAAGTGAGTTTTGTGGCAGTCGGTTTTATCGCGGTTCGAGAAGGACTGACTTCGTGAGGCTGCTTGGATATCAGCTGGCCGGCTCTTAAGACACTGTGAGCTCACTAGGTTGGGGTCACGGTCAGTTCCCATTCAACTGTCAAAACGTAAGCAACTGACATGAAAGTCCGTGGCTGGGCGTCAGCTTGAGCAATTGGCGGTCCTAGCTCACCAACGGCGCAATCCACAAAATCATGATCCGCTCGGTCCACTCGCCTGGGCGACGAGATATCATAACCCTGTTGGGTCAGCTAATGAAACACCGCGATAGGCTAGCTCACGAACTCCACCAGACATGCTGGCCTCTGACACGGATCTAACCATTGGTCAATACGCGGCGCCACAGCTCCCTCCGGGTCAGGTCGCTGTTGGAAGCTCCGCAATGTCACATAGGCAGGCTTGGGCATCAGCTTCTTAAAGAGGAGGGGAAGCTTGCCCACCATTCCCTCGGCCTCTGCCTTTTACCGACACGACCGGAGTCAGCTAAGGGACACTACATGTCATGAAACAGCTCACTGGTGTCCTCCGCGAGCGTACGGCTCAAAGGAGGGTGTTGCAGCAGATTGCGCGATAGCTCCTGCGGCCTTGCGGCAGCTGACTCACGACGTTGGTCCGCATTCATACTGAGGCGTTGGGACGGAAAGTGAGGCATGAGGACCGCCTCACGACCCCGAGTTCCCTGGTCGAGCTCATTTCTGTTCGCCTGACTTCTGTCAGCTTTGTCAGCTTTGCGGAATCTCAATTCAGCTCACGCACTGTGCTCCTCGTTCACTCTCCCGCAACGGTGGTTGTGCTTTGATGTCCACATGCTTGGGGTCAGTTTCACAGGGATAAGGACGCCAGCTGACCTTTTTGGGGCGGTACAAGAAGGTTGTCTGTAAGTCAGCTTCGCATGGGCTTGGGATGGAACTAACTCACACTTCCTCCCGCATAGAACAACTGTGCGTTTGCTGAAGCTATACAAGCACACAAGGCCTTTGCAGCTCACAAGTTGAGGGTGGCGACTTTGATGCCCGCCGGATCCTGAACATTAGCTGGAACGACACGTACAGACACCTCACAATCCTCCCCCTCCTTCGCCACTTGAAGTAGGGTAGAGGACTGACTGTCAGCTATGTTGAACGAGGAGGCAGCTCACCCATAACTGCTTACTAATCGTCTGTGCGTCAGCTATGGGGCAGAGTACTCGGTAGTCAGCCTCACGAGCGATGGGAGCGAGAGCTCGAAAGACTTGGTCGTCAGTTTATCCAGAACAGAAGCGGGACAGCTGACCCTTCACGGCAGGATGATGACTGTTGAGAAGAAGCGAGAGGACGAGGTGGCGAATGGAGAAGGGTGTGAAGGAGGAAGATGCAACGATGACCTGGCGGGAATCCATGCTGAGCTGCGCCCCTCCATGCCCTCCAATCCTCTCGTGCGAGTTACACTGCGCCCTCGCTTCCGTTGCGCCCTTCGCGCCTTGACCTTCGCTCCTTTCGAGCGCTTGATCCGTCAGTAATCAGCAATGAGTCGCACGTGACAGAGTCAGCGTTGGGATCGAGGTCTTGCCCCTGCCGTAGTACGGTGCCGCGCCTCTCCCTCATTGAGGTGCCGCTTTCAGAAGTGTCAGCGTCAGAATAACAGATAAGTGGCCGGTGAAGGATGGTCACTCCTCCCACGGAGGCTGAAGCTGCCCATCGGCATCAGTCAGCCCCTGCTCTTAAGTTGCCAGTGCTCTGATCGTAGGACTGCACACCAGGCATGGTCTTTGCATATATTCGTCCACTCGTACAGGTGCGGCTGTCGGCCTCAGGCAGCAAACGCCTCTCGGACTAAGTCTCCCCGGCCGACGTAACTTGCGAGCTCTGCTCCTGAGAGTCATTGCCCCTGCTCTCGTCAGTTGAGAGTCACCATTGCCCCAACTCACCCCAAGCACACATGCTTCTCCTTGCACTTGGCGTGCGCCAGTCCCGAGTCGCCATGGATCTTCTTCGGCGCGACGTTCAGTTCAGCGATGACCTTGTCCCACTCGCCGTAGTCGCCCGCCTTGTCCTTCGTCACGGGGTTGATAACCTTGAGCAGCTCCACACGGGCCTGGAGCGCGCGGCCGTAATCTGACTGTCAGCTCTTCGCGCGCGCTTCAAAAAAGCTCACGGTGGAATCCCTTCTTCAGGAGATCGGCGGTGACGTACCGCGCGCCGGTGACTTGGGCAGCAGCGAGCTCGGCGGCGTGCAGAATCTCAACGCAGCGGCCGGCCGTGGGCTGCAGCGCGCCGAGAGAGGAGAGCGCGAGACTGAGCGACGAGCCGGTCTTGGCGAGCGCCTGCGAGTACTTGAACAGGCAGAGTGAGAGGTTGCTCCACAGCGCGGGCTCGCTGCGTGTCAGCTACTATGGCGAGCCCCAGAGCTTACAGAGCGGCCAGGCCCATGTCCTTGATCTGCTGTTCCGTGAAGAGGAGCGGGGAGGCGTACCACGGCGCCAGGTCCGTCAGGGCGTGGAGATAGACTCGCATCGCGCCCGTGTAGTCGTTGGTGTCGAACATGCTGTCGTCAGCTTCATCTTGCCAGTCCTGCAGCTGCGTCGTCCCCCCAACTCACCGGTTGCCGATGACCTTGTCGTTGAACCCTTTTCCGACAGCGTAGGCGACGGGCTCGATGCAGCCTCCCTCCTTCATGCGCATCACTCGCTCCGGTCGCAGATACGACATGTGCGAACAGGTTCCGCCGAGGAGCTGCGCGATGTGCTTCAGCAGGGCAAACTTGCGAGCGAGGACGGCCCTCTCGTGCGTCTGCAGCTCGGCAGCTGTGAGGGGGCGATCGGGGGGAGGGGGTGGTGGCCTGCGGTTAGCTTCTGATGGAGCGGGGATTCTGAAGCTCTCGATCACTCTCACAGTGTGATATCCAGCTTTGACTCGAGGTCAAAGAGGTCCCAGACGGCGTCGTTGCGCGAAGTGTCGCGCTGCTTGAAGTGGACCTCATCGAGCTTGACGAGTCGCAGGTCAACGTCGCCACCTAGCGTGTACGGTGTGTTGATGAAAGTATGCGCCTCGCTCGGAGAGCCCAGGAGAAAGCTCGCTGAAGGGGCTGCCATGGCTGAATGTCAGCTAGAAGCGCGAACGTCTGTAGAGCTAATTCGTACTCAGTTTGGCTGATGATGCAAAGACTAAGTGATGGAGTGGACTAGGCTGAGTGGTTAGCAACAAAGGGGGAGTAGTATGAGCATTGCGTGTCGTGTGTGGAGGGGCGCATGATCAGCGTTCCATGCTGGATCACCGCAGACTACCCGGGCCCCTTGCGCCTTGGTTTCCTCGTCAGTAATGCGCGTTCGACAATCATCAGTCCAAGTGTAAGCATCTATGTGACTACCTGCATGCTGTTACACTTCAAACTTCCAGACCTTGACGCTGCCGTCATCCGCGCAGCTGGCGGGAACGCCCTCCTGTCCCTCCTTCTTGTTCCACTTGAGGCTGTTGACATCGCTGACGCCGTGGGCATCGCGCACAACAGCAACGGGTTCGAGCCGTAACCTGGGGATGTCCTCGCACTCCGCCTCGTCCTCGTTGCTCGCGTTCCAGACAATGATGCGTCCGTCTCCACCAGTGGACGCCAGGAGGGCGACAGAGCCGTCCTTAGCGGCGCTCTTCATGGCGTCGGTCGGGGCGAGGAAGTCGATGGCGTAGACTGGTCCAGCATGCGCGCCTACATGCAGCGTCTCCTCAAACTCGGACGAGAGGCCGGACGTTCCAGGCTTCCGGCGCCAGATTCGGATGCCGCCCCCGTCGCCGCCGGAAGCGAGGTACTTTCCATCAGGCGACCAAGCGAGACACCACACGGTCTCAGGCTCCTGAAGCGGGGGCACCTCGAGCTCATCTTCGTTCCGCTCCGCCTCTGAGCGCATGTCGGCCAGCAGCGTCGGGATCTCCTTCTTCGCCGCCGAGGGCTTGAGCTTCTGATGCAGGAACCAGTCGCTGTCCGGGTCGTCGTACATGATGTGGATGAACGAATCATAGCTTGCTGAGGCAAGGATCTGGAGTCAGCTCGGATGAGAATTGGAAAGCTTACCTCCTCAACAGGGTGCCAGGCAACAGCTTTGACGTCGGCCGAGTGGTCCATCATGACGGCAATACATTCGAGCTCCTCTCCCACCTCCCACACCCACACGCTGCGGTCGCGCGAGCAGCTCGCGATGAGCGCGCCGTCGTTCGAGAAGCCAACACTCTTGCACTCGTTCTCATGCCCCTCCAGCGTCGTCACACACTCCCACTGTCCCTCCGCATCCTCATCCTCCCATAGGCACACTGTCGAGTCGAAGGAGGCGGTCGCCAGCGTCGACCCCGTCGGGTGCCAGTCGATAGCGCGGATCGTCCGTCGGTGTCCCGTCGGCACAGAGGTGTGGAACTGGAATTCGGGCGAGCCTGATGACGTCGTATACGTGTAGAGTCGAATTGTGCGGTCGGTTCCACACGAAGCGAGCAGGTTGCGCTGCGGGTTGAACGAGACGCCCCACGCAGCGTCCTCGTGTCCTGGAAGACTCGCAATCTCGGTCAGCCGCATGTCGATGATAGAGTGACGGCTGCGTTCTTTCTCTAGTATTCTAAACTCCAAGGGAGGATTCTGCTGATCAGCTAACAGTTATCCTTCTCAAAGCTCACCTATGTGTTGAGAGACGACGGTCAGAAGACGATGAGTGAGGAAATTTCGGTTATGACGCCCGAAGTGAGACGTGAGTCGCGGGTGGATGTCGCGATCGGTTAGAACGTGGTGACCTCCGAGGTTTATCCACGATTAAGCGAAATCTCAATACCTTTTCTAATGAAGCATGTCTCGTTTGTAATCAACACGTGGTTGTTCTAAGACCCCGTTGCGGCCGATGAGCGGCATGCGGAGAAGCGGAGGCTGCGGAGCTCACCACCCAGTCCATCTGTTGCCCGAGTGGGGAGCGAGGGAGATGACTCTGCTGTCTCCACAATCCTCATTCCGAAAATCTCGCCAAAATGGGAGAACAAAGCAAGCCTCTTCAGCGGCCCATTCCGATCACGACCTTCAACGGCTTCCTCGGAGCTGTGAGCTCAATCCATTTCCTCGATAGCTGACAGACAGGGCAAAACCACGACGATCCTTGGATTACTGGAGCAACTGCCCGAGGACTACAAGGTGAGCTGCTCCTTGTGAACTGGAAGCTGATAGCAGGTTGTCCTGCTCAAGAACGAGTACGGAGATGTCGAGGGTGAGTTCCAATGCGTCTTTGGAAGCTGACATGACAGTTGACTCTCTCCTCGCCAAGCAGGGCAACATTACGGGCGTCTCCGAAATCCTGAACGGATGCTTGTGAGCTGGTGTGAGCTTGCCAGAGCTGACAGTCAGGTGTTGCACCATGGTCGGCCGTATCGAGAACACGCTGGAGGAGATCCGGGACAAATTCAACCCCGACCGCATCATCATTGAGTCTTCGTGAGTTCATGGAGCGTGTCCATAACTAACCTCCAGTGGCTCTGCCTTCCCCGCCACCCTTGCGCTTCAGATCCGGAAGCTCGAGCCGGAGGGCTTCAAGCTTGACGGGGTCGTTACCGTCATCGACTGCAAGAACTTCAAGGGATACGAGGACACGTCTCCGAGCGCAAAGCTGCAGGCAAAGTACACCGACCTCCACCTGCTGTCGAAGCACGAGCAGTGCACCGAGCGAGAGTTCGACATCCTGCTCGACCATCTCGGCGAGCTCACCGACCAGACACCCTACATCAAGGTCTCTAAGGACAAGCCGATCCGGCCCGAGGTGCTGTTTGGACTCGACACCCAACTCTTCAAGCTCGAGGACGAGCAGAACACCTGGGAGGCGCTCGGCGGTGAGGGCAAGCACATGGACGAGGTCGAGACGCGGAGTGTGTGGCGCGGCGGCGCCCAGCCGGGCAAGCACGAGCACGCCGAGGGCGAGACGTGCAAGTCGTGCCCGAAGGGTGAGGCCGTAGAGGGCGGTCTTCTCTCGCGCGACCAACTCGACGCAGCGCTCAAGCTTCCCTTTGAGATCTACCGCGTCAAGGGCATCGTCCGCTTCCCCGCTGAGGATGGCAAGCGCGCCGTGAACGGTGAGGCGAAGAACTACGAAACCTACATCCTCAACTGGGCCTTTGGCAACTACGACCTGACTCGTGCGCCGAAGCTTGATGATGCTCCTGACCTCGAGGGTGTTGTCTGCCGCCTGACAGTGATGGGCGAGCGGGGTGAGGTCAACCGGAAGGCGAAGAAGATTGCGGAGGCGCTGGGCGCACAGTACGCATAGACATAGAGACAGACGTACACATCTTGTAGATCATAGAACGACAGACATGACGTGATGCCATCATCTAGACATAAGAGACAGCTCCGGCAGTGGTATGCCGGGTGAGCCGAACTTCTGCGAACTTCAGCGACGATATCGAGTCAGCGGAAGTAAAAGACGCCGCTCAGACGCGTCCGGCGTACCGGCGTACGCCGCGAATCTGGCCCGGACGCCTCTCTCCGCGTCGAAGTGGGCTGGACCAACGCCCCGCCGCTCAACCCACCCAGGTGGAGTGAATTACCCGTCTGCCTTTCCAACGAGCTTCCGACATTCACCCATCCATCTCATCCATCGCGCACCTCGACGCGCCCGCTTTTCCGGCAAGCTCTCCAGCGCGCTGCCTTTCTGGTCCTGATGCGGGGACAGCTTCAGCAATACCAATCCTCCTCTATCGACAACGGCGGGCTGATTGGGCGGCGGAGGCATCGGCCGAACTTCGCGACGCAATACCGCCCCGCCCATTGGCCGCGGATTGCCCGACCCCTCGTGGCCCCCTGTGCTCCCTGCTGGTCCCTGCTGACGACCCGGAAACCCTTCAGAAGGAGGCTAGTGTCGAATAAGAGTATCACATGTCCACGGCTAGATATGGGGCTCTTAGGGACGCGGCGGGTGTCTCCTGCGGAATAATATGGGTTCGTTGCGGGGCTCGCTGGAATATTTCGAGTTTGCGAGTCGAGTCGGGTCGTCGGGCCCGATTCGCAATGCTGCTTGAGGTCCTGGGTCGTGAGATGGTGAGGAGGAGCTGCAGTATATGAAGCAGATGCTGCAAAGCATGAAAGACTTCTCATCCCCCCTCTCCGCAGCACACGACAAGCTCCCACAGGTGCCCCGACCACAGCTCGAACTTGGTTGAAGGACAACGAACAGAAACAGCGTTAGAAATACGAGCTCTCGACTCAGTGCCACCCTCCACTACCGCCACTACCAGCAACAACAAGCAGCAGGCTTTTGCCCAGAACGCGACGAGAACAGCCTAAGCGGTACAAACAGCAACATGTCGAAGACCTCTAGCTTTCAGGAGGAGCCCTACGATGAGACGATGAGGGAGAAGGCGGTCGCCGCCGCGACGAATCCGGAGCTGGAGACTATTCTCTCCTGGACCCCCGAGGAGTTCGCCGCCGAGGAGAAGAAGCTCCTGCGCAAGATGGACCTGCGCCTGGTTCCGTGGATGACGTGAGTATTCCCCGTGGTGACAGAGCTATTCGTTGAAGATTGCAGCTGACAAACAGCCTCCTGTACCTCATGTCCTTCCTCGACCGTGTCAACATTGGCGCCGCCAAGCTCTACGGATTCATGGACGACCTGAACCTCTCCTCGCACCAGTACACCATCGCCAGTATGATCTTCGTGAGTCCACCCGCCGCCAACACTGAAGTGCAACGCTGACATGCAGTTCGTTCCCTACGTTGTCTTCGAGGTGCCGTCGAACCTGATCCTAAAGAAGATGAGGCCGTCTCGCTACATCCCGATCACGATGATCCTCTGGGCCGTCGTGCAGGTCTTCATGGGTCTGGTCAAGAACTACTCCCAGCTGCTCGCTCTCCGTTTCCTGCTCGGTTTCTTTGAAGCTGGTCTCTTCCCCGGACTCAACTTCTACCTGACTGGATGGTACAGGCGTGAGGAGCTCATGCGCCGTGTGGCGGGCTTCTTCGGCGGTGCCGTCATGTCTGGTGCCTTCGGCGGTGTCTTCGCCTACGCCATCGGTCTCATGGACGGAACTGCAGGCATGGCTGGATGGTCGTGGATCTTCATCATCGAGGGTCTGCTCACTTTCGTCATCGCGTTCCTGTCGTTCTGGATGATCTTCGACTGGCCGCGTGACGCCCGCTTCCTGACCCCGCTCGAGAAGGAGTTCGTCATCTACCGCCTCAAGAACGACACGGGTCTTCCTGAGGGAACCGACGAGGGCTTCTCCAAGCGCGCCACCCTCCGCGGTATCATGGACTGGAAGACGCCGCTGTTCATGCTTGCGTACCTCGGTGCCGGCGAGTGTGTTTACTCTCAGTCGCTGTTCACGCCTACCATCGTCGCCTCGCTCGGCAAGTGGAGCGCTGCCCAGTCGCTCCTCCTCTCCGTCCCCCCTTACGTCCTCGGCTTCATCACGACCATGACCACGGCGTACATCTCGGATAAGACGAAGAAGCGCGGCATTTTCAATGTCTTCTGGAGCGTCGTTGCGTTCGTCGGCTACCTCGTCCTCATTGTGACCAAGCCCTCCAATGTCGCGGGCCAGTACGCTGCCGTGTACGTGACCACGATGGCCATCTGTCCCATGATCGCCGTCACGATCACGTGGGCGGGCAACTCGTTCGCGAACCACTTCAAGAAGGGAACCGCCATGGGTTTGGTCTTCTCGGCTGGTAACGCGGGAGGCATCATCTCGTCCTTTGCGTACCGCCCCGCCGACGCGCCGCCCAAGGGTCACTACGTTCCCGGTCACGCCGTCGCGCTCTCGCTCATTTCTCTCGCCGGTGTCGTTTCGATCGTCCTGCTCTGGGGTCTGAACCGTGAGAACAAGCGCCGTCAGGCCCAGTTCGGATCCGTTTCTGAGAACGAGGTCCACGACTACGACGACGAGGAGTACAAGCGCCGATGGGGCCTCGAGGGCAAGACGAGGCAGGAGATCGTCGACCTCGGCGACGACCACCCCGCCTTCCGCTACATCCTGTAATCACTTTCCACTCTCTCATTCAAATCATAATTTAGGGTTAATAGCGCATTCCATACAGCATTGTTTCGTATCTGCATTGCATTGGGCATCTGAGCAACTGCCGCACCGAGCGCACCGAATGAGAGGCGTCGCAATTGAGCTGGTTTTTCCGCAATTTCTCTCTGAGTTGATCTGAGTTGATTGATTTCGGAAGGTTTTTTCGAAAGGTGCGAGCGGCAAAGGTGTGGGTCCCCGCACGGCAGAACGCTTAAACGCACTCGTCGGTGACTTTTTTGTTGACACCTCATACCCCTCGTTCCTTCGGCTTCCTCGCTCGGTGAGCGCAGAGCGGCCTGCGCGGACACCGCTAGCGAACATCTTTTCGGCCCACACCGCTTCTCACAGAAGTCCACGACGCCGACATAGACTGCACGACTGCACCATCCACGCACGCTCCTTTGCTTCACATCGCATAGATATCTAGATCGCAGCACGCAGCAAGTATCTCGCAGCTCGGACAGGCCTTCAACACTTCATACCTCCACCGCGATAGATCTTTTGTCTTCCCCGCCTTCCTCGCACCTCTACCCTCGTCATCCACGCATCCCATAAGAGTTGAGCAACATGGCGACCTTCCTGCAGAAGTACACAAACTTTCTGACCCAGAAGCCCCTTCTCGGCAACTCGGTGACCGGAGCGGTAAGCTGGCTCGAGTCGCGTTGAAGCTGACATCCAGGTCCTCTTTGCGACTGGAGATGGTGAGCTGGCCCGTGCAGACTTGATAGCTGACAGAACAGCCATAGCGCAGCAGGTTGTCGAGAAGAAGGGTTGGAAGAACTATGACTGGAAGCGGACTGGGTGAGTCTTCATGCTCGTTCGTGGGGTACGGGGTGTGGGGAAGGCTCGACGCACGTTCGCACTGTATGAGCTGGAGAGCTGGAATTGGGCTGGTCAGTCTTCCGTGCGACTGTGCTGGATGTGCTCTCAGCTCGGGTCTGGAACAGCGCCGATCGCGCACTGTCCTCCCTGTGTGCCTGTGCTTGCATTACACCTGGCCCTTTAAACTCGCCCCCTCGCAGATCGCTGCCGGCGACAGTGCACCGCCCCAAGGCGCTGAGCTAGCACTCTGTCGATGCTGAGCTGACTCCCAGACGTATCGTGCTTTGGGGAGCGGGCATCTTCTCGCCCGCTGTCACGGTGTGGTTCCGATACCTCGACCGTCTGCCTGGTCGCGGAACGATCCCGGGCACGGCGCTGCGTGTGGCGTGCGACCAGCTGATCGCATCGCCGACAGTACTAACCGGTGAGTACACGAGTCACTGTTCCCGCAGCTCCTGGTGGGGCTACGGGATCTCTCAAAGCTGTCCGCGTATCTTGAAGCTAATTTTAAGGCTTCTTCACGTTCATGACGCTGGCCGAGGGCAAGTCGCTCGACGATGCCAAGGCCAAGTGGAAGCGCGAATTCTGGCCGACACTCAAGACTAATTGGATTCTCTGGGTGCCGTTCCAGGCCTTCAACCAGGGTATTGTGCCCCTGCAGTACCGCCTGCTCGCGAGCAACCTCGTCAACATCCCCTGGAACACGTTCCTGTCCTATGTCAACAACCGCGCGCAGAGCCAGGACATCGAGATGGGCCAGGTCAAGACGCAGTAGAGCTCCCCCGCGCGCGTATACCCGAGCGACGATACCAGTATAGAGAATGCAGGACAACCTAATCTTGTACTGACTCAGGACCGTGGCGGAGAGGTATACGATTATCATTGGAGGAGCTGGGTATCGACTACTATACAGTTTACGGCGGGACACTGATGATTACTGACACTCTAGTGTACAAGATTATACGGTCTATCCTACGGCATCATACGAACGGGACACGGTTTGCTGTCCGTGTTCTCGCCTTGGAAGGGGAACACCCAGGCAAAGTCCTCGTGCTTGAAGCGCCACGCGTTGCCCTGTCTACGAACATTGGACGTCTTCGAGAATGACTGGGATCAGCATTGCCCTGCACTCGGTGACTCACTCCAAGGAAGCCAAGTGGGCTCTCAAGTCCGACCCTCGTAGCGCGAACGATTAGTCCGTTGTCCGGGAACCGCACCACATCGCCCTCACTAACCCGCATGAAGCGGAAGGTGATGCTAACCGCTCCATCAGGACACATGGACGCTACGCCAGCCAGCCTAGCTCCTTGCCTCGGCATGAGCTTCTGATCCAGCACCTGACCTGTGAAGAACATGTTCGGCAATGCTCCAGGATCTGGAATGGGCAACCTGCTCAGATCCAGACACTCTCTGGCTGTGGACTCAGAGCAAGGCTCGAGGCGGAAGTATCCCGGCAGATCCTTCTCGACAGGCATGCGCGTGTTGGCATTAGGCACAAGACCGCACCATATGCCCTCGAGCTGGGGCCAGTCTGCTCTCGGCCGTGACCGATTCTCAGCCAAGAGCTCAGGCATACTGACACTGGAGCTCAGGAGATGAGGGCCGGGACACAGCGTCGGCAGACAAGGCGTTGGAGCCAGCGTGATGACCCTCGTCAGGGCGGCGAGGAGCAGCCCATAGTCCGGCACAGACGAGACAGAGTACCGGAACTCGGTGACGGCCAGGTCTTTCACGCACCCGAGACCACTGTCGGCACTGGAGCCGCTGCTGCCCCACGACGCCCAGCTGTCGCGCTTCACGCTGCCGAAGGACGACAAACCCGAGGCGGCCGAGTACCCCGACTTGGCAGAATAGCCCGACTTCGCGGAGATGCCGGACTTGGCCGACGTCCGCGATGCGCGCGACGCTTTGGATGTCCCGGAAGTTCGCGAGGTGCCCGAAGCGGCAGAGTGCCGCTTGCCCTTCGCCTTCGTGGGTGGTTCCTCAGGCTCAGGGACCTTGGGAAAGGACTCGTTCGTCGACGAGCTCAGCGTGTCGGCTAGGGAGACAGTGGAAAGGTTTCTGAAGCTGGCGGACAGTGGGGAGAGCGAAGGTGTCAAGCTGTCGCTCGTGTACAGTGTCAGAGTGGCGGTTGATGGCGAAGTCAGGGTCGACAGGAGCGTGCTGTTCGTCATGGGTGGGGAGAGACAGAGCGCCGGCGTCGTTGGGCTTACTGGGCTGGTCGGGCCTAATGTCGGCGACGAGGGCGACACGGAAAGAGTGAGCGAAGGAGTGGAGGGCCATACCGCGTGCTGGACTAGCGGGTCTGCGTCGTCATCGCTGTCGTATTCGGACCCCGAGGAGTCGGAGTCTGACCCCGCGTCGAGGTCCACGGCCACGGGCGTGGCCACGGAGACGGGTAGTGGCTCAAGGTCCTCGCCCTCGTTATCCTCCTCAGCCTCCTCATCGACTTCACTGATCTTGCTAAGCTCGTCAAAGTCGTCCTCACTCTCGTGACCGGAGTCGGACTTTTCGACCTCCTGGTCAGACTCGATGGACTCGAGCGAATCCAGCGACGGCCGTCGAGTGAGCGTACCGGCCTTTTCTTCAACCTCTGGAGCCGTCGTCAATGCGCACAAGAACAATGCCCTCGATGTGGCATGCGGCAGCGGCCCAGGGTCGCTCTGGAGCACCAGCGCCGTGAAGGGGTCATTCACAATCTCCGCGAGAAGCGCCCAGTTCCGACTCTCAGGCGCGTTGTGTGGCAAATCGTCAAACAGCGACAACAAGGTATGCGCGAATCGTCTAGAGTGCGGCGCGATCCGCTCCTCCTCCCACCGAATCACGTCGGGGACGCCCAGAATGTCCTCGGTCTGGTGCTCGAACTCTCTCTGTCCGCGCTCATAGTATTCTCGCCGCTCACGGTCCGAGACGTACACCATCCCCGTCTTGTGGTGGTACAGCCGCCGCCGGCCGGGGACCCAGGAGTAGTGGAACTGCGCCTGAAAGCAGGCCAGGACGCTGTCTTGCTGGGCCTGTCAGCGCACTCGTCCAATGTTGAGGAGTAGAGGAGTAGATGAGTGGGGCTCGCTACGCTCGCCTGGACTCACCTTACAAGCTTCTTCTCGCGCATCCTGAGCGCGCCGCCAGCGCTGGTACCGCGTCCGCTCATCGTTGAGGAAGCGCACAAGCCACGCGCGGTCGAGCACACGCGCTCGGCACCCGCTCACCGAAAGCGCAGGGTCGTACTCGGTCTCGAGGAGCCGGCGCCATGTCGACTGGTCCTGCGATCAGCGTAAGTTCTAGGTTCACCTTTCATCACATGCTCGCCACCCGGTATCAGCTGAAGCAGACTCAGGTTATCCAGATAGGACCGGGATTACCATCCGACGGTCAGTCGAGAGTGACAGGTCTTAGTTGCCCGCAAGATCAACTCGCCGAAGACTTGGGGTACGGTGAAACCGCTCCGATTCAGGTACATCACACTTACGTCCTTCACGACCGCGCGCCAGGCCGAGTTCACCCCGCCGGCGGCGACGACCGTCGCCAGGTCGGCTTCAGCGAGGATCTTCTGAATCAGTTCCGCCGGAAGCTCCCCCATCGTGCTGGTCAGCGGTCTCGACCGTCGGTTGAGGCGAGGATTGCTCCGTCACGCTTGGGAGAACGAAGGTGGCTACGACACTAGTCGATGTCACGGGCTAGGCTGTCGGAACTCGGCTGTCCCTCGGTCTCGAAGCGAGGGACTGGTCGACGGTCGCGGAGATGAGGGCGGGGGAGAGGGAGACGGTGACTGGGGGCAGCTCGACGGCACCGCGTGCTGCCAGTTGCTCCGTCACGAAGGGTGAACTGGGGGGTTGACGAGGTGGGGGTGAAGACAAAGGCTGCAGTGTCGGCGAGACCTTAATCCTAGTGTGTTGGGTGCTTCGTTCTGTCGTTCTGGCCCGCTCCGGCGTTTGCGATTGTCGAGAGAAAGGAAGAGGAAGAGTCAGCTGACGAGGAGGACGCAGCTGACCTGGTGTCTGGGAGCTGGCAGACCGCTCGCAGACCAGACAGATCAAGAACAAGCAGCTGGGAGCTCGAAGAGGGAGGAGAGAGAGAGAGGCCAAGGCCAGTGGACAGGCCTGTCCACACACTCGACGTTCTTTAAACAATAAGCAACGCCGCATCGCGGCTTGCACCGTCTTAGCGGCGCCTCCGAAGCTTCCGTCGCTCAGTCGACCGCCGGACGCGACGTGCTCCGACGCTCCATGAGGCAGCCGTACTCCTTTCCTTTCGCGACAATAGACAGAGAGTGGAGGCGGTGGAGGAAACCCAGAGGTATATGTACGCGCGCCGCGCCTCGTGCAGTAAACCAACGCCAAGCGACCGATAGGCATCCAGGCAGGAGTCTGCCTGACCTGTACCGGCGGGGCAGGACGAGAGCAGGGCAGGGGCAGGACATGGCAGGCGCGTCCGACGCGGCAGACTCGCAAACTCTATTCCGCGCCACGGGTCGACATGACGAGATTACGCCAGCAGCGGTGCAGGCTACTGGCACTCGGCCAGGATACGGCACGCACACACGACATGCACAATCTCGACCCTTGAGCACATTGCCCAACGCGCCAGCCCAAACCATGGAGACTGCCCGATACTCACCGGCCGCCCACCGGCAACAACCCGACCCTCCCTCACGTCAACCCACCCGGGGCCTGACCCTCCTGACCCTCCTGTTCCTCCTGTTCCTCGCGGAAAGACGCTTCCTGCACACTGGTACCTGTGGTCTGTGCCACAGCCACAGGGGCCACAGGGCCTCGTGCACGTCGTACATCCTCTGCCAACGTATCGGCATGCTCATTGTTCTTCGTGCAAGGTGTGCATGCTCGTGCATAAGGACTCGATACGTGCAAGGACACATAAGAGAGCGTGATCATGATCTTTCCCCTGACCCCTCTCGCCTGACCCTCCTGCCTCCCCTTTCCTAGGTCTATCGGTAGCCTGGCCGGTCTGGCCGGCCTGGCCAGTTAGTGCATCCTCTAAACCGCACTCGGCCTGTACACCGCCCCCGCTCCCTTCTCACTCCTGGTCGATTCACTCTAAAGTGCACGCCTTATGCTTGACTGCCAAGCTGGGACCTCGCGCCGATGGCCCAGGCTCGCTCTTGTCGTACCTGTCTGAAGTTGAGTTGCGTACACTTTCTGCAGATCTCGGATGACTCAGATGTCTCACCTGTGACTTTGGTCCGAGGTCTGCCGACCTCCATTGGCCATGCCGAGTCGGCACAGCGGTCTGAACTCCTGCTTCCTCCTATCTCCTTCTATCTCGGTCCGTCTCGATTGACACCAAAGTCAAGTTTGGGGGAACTCTGGGGCTGCGGTGTGTCCAGAAGACTCCTAATCGTCAGAGACGAGCAGAAGATGAGCAAGCGACACGACGCCGACGGGCGCGCCGTACCCCCCTGCGGCGTGGGACCTGGCGGGTTCCTGCCAGTATGCTTGTCAGGCATACTGGCAAGTGACAATGGTGTGTTCGGGACTGACCGCTACTCACCGCGCACCGCACGGGCACGCGGCTTACTCGGCTGGGCTGCAAGGCGCACAGAGCCGACACCCTTTGACGAGACTTTGCCAACACTCAATCAATGCCCAGGCGATGCAGGCGACATGTCGAAGCCTATCGAGCTGCCCGCTGTCTGCCCGCTGTCTGCCTGCTGTCTGCCTGCGGTCAACGTCCTCATCGTCTTCGGAGTATGCAAGAGCGCTCATTGAGGCTTGATCCCGAGCTTGATCTCGAGCATCCTGGGACTCTCATCTGAAGGATAACACTCGCTCCAGTCACCTAACCATGATTGGCAGGGGGGAGAGCGGTGCTCGTTCATGTCGGCGGCACGGCCGCTGGACCTCATTCCACTCTGCCATTGCCGCCGCCTCCGCCTCCGCCGCCTCAAACGCCCTCATGCCCTCTCTTTGCCCAAACCGATCACCCACAAGAGGTAAACAAAACTTGGCATCTCACGTGCATCTCTCCTCCTTTCTCCTTTCTCATTGTCCTCGTCCCTGACAGACGCGGCTTGATCCATCTTCACTCACTCGGCTCACCTCCCCTCTGTACCCCTCACTCCCCTCCTTCCACCTTCTCTCCATCACACTTCCCATCCGCCCTCTCACGTCCCTCACTCCCATCTCACGAGTCTCTGTCGATCCCTGTCGTGTCGCTCGCATAAACGAAACCCGTATGCATGAAATTCTATGGTATCACCTTTGGAAAAAGCTTGTCTAGTCTAAAACTGTCCACTACTCCTCGTGCACTCCTACCACCCCGCCCCTCTCCTCATCCTCGTCAATGGCCTCAGCTCCGATCAGGCCGCACGTTGGTCCCAGCCTCGGTCGGGCCTACGGCCCTCCCTCGACTTACAGCCCCACCTCATTCTGGAGCAAGAAGCTGACCCTTCTCTGGCTCTTGGGCGCGGTACGTCCGCCGACAGTGCGCATCTCCTGACACACGAACGAGTCGGGGGCGCCTGCCCAGTCCTCGACCATGTAGTTGCCCTCTCCGCGGTGGCTGTGGTCCCTGCCTCCAAACAGATCCAATGCGAGCCTCGAGTGGCTCACGCCACCATACGTCGTCAGACAGCGGGGGTTGACGAGGATGCGCGCAGCCTCGAATTCGCTGTTCGGGATCATGAAGCTGCTGGGCAGGTCTTCCTTCTTCAGCGCCTCTGGGGCCGGGTTCTCCTTGTCGTCCATTGCGTCGATGTTGGTTCCACTGTCTTCCTTGGGCGCCGCGTTCGGGTTCCGGTCCCCGGGACTGTCGGCGTGCTCGGGCTGCGCGGCGGGGTCCTCTGCCATGTCGGCCGCGATCGCCTCGCGGATCTCGTCCTTCTTGCCTCCCGGCTTGACCTGCTTCGCCTCCGCCTTGACGGGGTCGGCATCGCGGACTGCAGCCTCGACTTGCGCGTCGGCCGCGTCCATCTTCGCCTTGCCTGCCTTGGCGGCGCCAGCGCCGGCGTCCACCTGCACGATGCCGCCGTCGGCGGCGGCAGCCAGGGGAGGAGCGTTGCCCTGTGCCCCGGCCTTGCCCACGGGGACGGCACGCTCGGCCTCGACGTCGACCTCGGTCACTCCGTCAGGCGTGACGATGTCCTCGCGCAGCTCGACCTGCTCCTCAATACCGTCGGGCGTGATCACACCCTCCTTCAGGTGCACGATCGGCTCAACGTTCTCGGGATCAGCAGCGGCGGCGAAGAAGTCGTCCTCGCCCGCGGCGACCTTGACACCAGCCTTGCCGGCAGCGGCTCCAGCGGCAGCCCCAGCACCAGCACCAGCGGCAGCTCCGGCAGCTCCGGCAGCCGCACCACCCTTGACACCGGCGCCGGCACCCGCGCCAGCAGCCGCACCCTTGGCAGCCGCCTCGGCGTCCTTCTCCTTCTGGCGCTCGATGACGGGCTCAAAGTTGTCAATGACCTCATCCATGTCGTGAAGGTCACGCTTGCGCTTCTTATGGTGCGCGGCGCCGCGACGTCCAGTGTGTCCCTTGGACTTTTGGCCGTTGCGCGCCGCGTCGACCCAGAGGTCGCGACAGAACCACATCTGCGTCGAGTCCATGCACGGCGTCTCGGGCTCGGTGATGATGTCGCTCGACTCGGTGAGGTTGACCGCGTTCGGGGAGGCGCGGTACTTGATGCCGCGGTAGTAGGAGAGCTCGGGGTCGACGACGTGCGTGCCCGACTCGCAGCAGAAGACCTGGAAGGGCAGGTGGTGCGCGTACCGCTGCGTGCCGACCTTGTCGCGGGGCGGGCCGGCTTCGGGCTTGGACGACGAACGGGCTTGACGGAATAAGTCGCCTGCAATGTCACGCGTGCGCCAGCGGTCGGAGAAGATGAAGAAGCCGTTGTGCTCGGCCCAGTCCATGCCGCACACCATGGCGGCGTTGTTGACCTCGGACACGCGGAGAGACTCGAGAACGTCCATGGGACAGGTGAAGCCCTTGAGCCAGATGACACGGTGGAACTTGATGTTGCGCTTGTCGTGCAGCTCGTGCAGCGGCTCGAGGACGAGGTTGCGCACAGCTGCCTCCTCCAGCGGGTAGTAGTCGATCGTGAGCGGGGGGACGCGGCGGATGCGGAACGAGATACCGAGAATCGTGAGAACGGCCTCGCAGAGGTCGCTCAGCGTCGGCGTCGCATCGTTCGAGCCCTGGTCGAGCATCGAGACAAAGATATTGCGAGTGCCGAGGCGGCGGGCGAGCTGGACAATGATGGCGAGCTGGTCGACAAGGAAGTGGTCCGCTGAGTGCACGACGAGCGCAACGTAGTACAGGTTGTCGGCGTTGGCGAGGTCCTCGTAGTTGTCATCGCGCGTGTTCTGGCCGAATGGACGGATCAGCGTCGGGCACGCAGCGGCGACCCAACCGTTGAACTGAAGCAGGTCGTCGACGACCGAGCGCATGATCTGCGTGTCGAGGTGCGCCGTGTCCTTGCCCGTGATGAACGGCTTCTGGTAGCGCGTCCAGAAGTCCCAGATGCCGTCGGAGATCTCCTCGTCGAACATGTCTGGGCGGTCGTCGCGGCCTATTCTCGACTGAAGCCACGGGTGCTTCGCCGTGTCGAGGTAGCGGTCCGCCATGAGCACGCGCTGGAACATGCCATGGCTCTGGATCTCTTTCGTCTTTTGCGGTTTGGAGAAGATGGAGCGGAAGAGGAGCACGCCAGTGATGAAGAGCGCCACGCGGATCGCGAGCCGCTGTGCTGGCGGACTCAGGTTGAGGTTGAGGCGCCTCCTGAGGTTGCCGAGGCCGTTCGTGTTCATCGTGGGCACGTTTGGTGAGCCGGCCGAGTCCAGGTCAGCTCGTGGCCTGCGGCCAGAATATAGGTCTGGGGCTGTTGGATAGTTAGGAGGTGGAAGCGAGTGTGATTATTTCGAGACGAGATGTAGCGTGGAGGTGATCGACGCGCAAGGGTTTCCAGCGGGTAGCGTCGGTACCAGCCGTTGCGAATGAGGGTGGGTAGCGCCGGTGGCGATGGACGAAGCGCGGGCGGTCGACGTGGCAGCGAACAGCGATATGGGTAAGATTTTTCGGACAGAGTCGAGACGAGAGATAAGCAAAAGTTGTGAGTTCCGTGTGCGGTAAAGAGATGGGTGGGAGGGTGCACGGAGGAGGGTGATGTGTCAGGGCAGTCATCTCCAAAACGTGGCTGAGGCCAGCACTCACATGAGGACGGAATTTTGGAATGGGTGTGCACGGGGGTCGATCGAGTCCAAGGAACGACGGTGCAACGTCAACGCGGCGGCCGCACAGCGACCGGGGGGAGTAGTTGAGAGTTAGGAGAGTGAACGGGGTTGATGAAGAAAGCAAGAGAGAGAGAGAGAGAGAGAGAGAGTAGTCGCCGTGAAAATCAGTAAAGGTGGACGGGAACGCAGAGTCACTGAAACGCGTCTTCGCTGCGCGGACCTGACTGGACCTGGCTTCCCGATCTCCCCAGAGACCCTTCCTCGAGTGCCGATCACAATCTCGCTCTATGTCGGAATCAATTCGACTTGCATCTTCAAGGACTTCGCTTTCACAGTGCAGAGCAGATTGACTGACCGATAGCGTACGTATGGTACCACTCAACCTTGAAGCATAATCACTGGGCATAGAGCTGGCCAGTTGGCACCCCGAATGCTTGTCTTTGGTGGGAACCGCCGAGTCTAACCGCCGCTTTCGTGTTCGTGGAAATTTAGAATCTAATGCATTGCAATGTGTTAAACGGCGTGGGGGACGGGAATGGAGTGGTGCGGGCGTGTGGATATCTCTACTCCTGACGAACAACCTCGACCTCGACATTGACGCTCTCGCCTCCGTACCCCTTGATCGCGACGCTGGCCTCCCAGCTGCCGAGCTCCTTCATACGCTCGCCGACCTCGTGTCCGACCCAGTTGACCTCGACATCGTTCCCCGTCAGGCCCTGGAGCTTGGCAATGTGCTCCGCGACATCGTTCAGCGTCAGCGAACCGTGCAGAGCCGGCGTCTCCGGCGAAATCGTGCGGCGCGCAAACGTCAGCTGCGTCGGCAGCGTGAGGAGCTTCGACAGCATCTCCGTCGGCGTCTCGCCGACATTCGTGGCGCGGGCAGCGGCGGCCGCACGCGCGCGGGCAGCAAGCACGGCGGGGTGCTCAAGAGCGTCCTGGTCACTCGGGTCGGGGCGAGCCTGTCGTCAGCTTCCATCCTAGCCATCGAAGCTGTCCCTCCGCGACTCTGGTCAACTCACAGGCTCGGCGATGAACGGCTTAGCGCGCTGCGACGCACGCTTCCACGGGATGTAACGGGCCTGGCGAGTCGGCGCGAGGACATTGCGCATGCGTCCGGGGGCAACCTCGACGCGGTCGACTGTTGGTCAGCTCTGACATCGATAGAAGAGCTGCTACACCGTCGAACTCCGAAGGCACAGGTCACAACAACAGGGTCATCTGTCGAGAAAGACAGCCTGCCACCGAGTGCTTCGGAATCCGCCGGCGCCCTTCTACGCACATTGTTGTCCCAGTCCGGGAACCTCGGTCAGAAGCTCGACGACGAAGGGGTCTCGCCTGCTACGACTGGCAGCAACGGCGGAGGTCTGATGTCAGCTGAGACCACGAACGATAAGCTTCGGAGGTCGGGGGAAAAAGCCGACGCAACCTCCAGAGCTTGACGAGGGATGCGCACCGAGAAGGCGGAGGTTCCGGCCCGGCGGAGGGCTGTCCGGGAGGTCGACGCGAGCATCATGGTAGCTGTCGGCGACGGGTCTAGGTCGGAGTCGGGGAGTGAAAGAGTGCGGTTGGACTTTTCCTCAGGGCGCCGCCGTCGAGCAGCCGAGAGCAAGGTGTTGAGTTTGGGTCACGTGATCTCCAAAAGTTCGCCAGAGATGAGGTCAATCGATGAGTTTCGCCCGCCAAATATTCTCGCTGCGTGCTGGCTCGCTCCCTCCTCCCCTTCATCCATCTCTCATTTCATTGCCGACGAAGATCATGGACCGCGGCGCTGCGCGAAGTAAGAAGCGCGCCGAGAAGGAGGCCAAGGCGGCTGCGGCCGCCTCGTCGTCCAAGCTCGACCTCTTGCTCGGCAACAAGCCGAAGGGGGACAGGCCGCAGAAGGAGCGCAAGGAGAAGAAGCCGAGGCCTGTGAAGCAGAACCGCGTCGATCCCAACGACCCCAACCGCTTCAAGGCCAAGGCGGTGCGCACGGCGCATACGCTTGTCTACTCCCAGGAGCAATTCGCAATCCCGCCTCCGCCGGAACGCCTTGAGGGCGTGACCCGTATCGACCTCGAGGGCAGCGGATGCTCGGACGTGAGCTGGCTACCGGCGTCTACGACTTGGCTCAGTCTCAAGAACTGTCCCGTCACTGAGGGGTGGGACACAGTGGGTGGACTCGAGAACCTCGCCGTGCTCAACATCAGCGGGTGTGGGCTGAAGGAGCTGCCCGCTGAGCTTGGACGGTTAGCCAACCTCAAGGCGCTTGTCGCTGTCGGTAACGAGTGGACGACGCTGAGCTCGGCCGTCGGAGGATGGAAGCTCGTGAACTCGCTCAGTAAGTGTTGCTTCTACTTCATCTAAATGATGATAATCATAACTCAGCTCACTTCGAGCCCTCCCCACAGAGGGAGGGCGCAGAGACTATTTTTCACAACTTATCTGACTCGTCCACTCCTGGCTATGCTTTCGCGCTTAGTAGCTGACAAGCAGTCATCAGTCACTCGCCGAACCTCACGTCGCTGCCGCAAGAGCTCGCGGAGCTGAAGCACCTCGCGAAGCTGACACTCTCGCATTGCCCGCGGTTCACGGCCGAGGGCTTTCCGGACCTCACCTCACTCCCCGTCCTTCGAGATGTGCGGGCGAACAACCTTCCGCGTCTGACATCACTCCCTCCCCACCTCCCGACCTGGGGCACCGGGTCCCTCTCCCAAGTGGGTAAGAAGGATGTTGCCGGTGACGGCCTCGAGGTCCTAGACCTGGGCAACTGTTCCCTCCCCCTCAGTGCGATCCAGAAGGTGTTCCTCGGCAAGTCGGCAATCGGCGGCGCCAAGTTCCCTCACCTCCGCTCTCTGACGCTCTCGGCCAACCCCCTCTGCCTCGAGGCGGAGAACTACGCGACCCAGCTCCAGGACTCGCCGCAGCTGCCCAAGATTCAGATCATCGACACGAAGCGCCTCGTCGAGCGCAAGCGCGCAGGCATGCAGCCCGAGACGAAGCGGGAGCGGAAACAGCGCGAGCGCGCAGAGGGCAAGCGGAAACCGACCGGTGCGAATGTCGACTCGTCAGCTCGCAAGATGCGTACGTGGGGCGCGGGGGCTGAGGACGGCGAGAAGGCAGCTGAGGAGCGGTCAAAGAAGGAGCGCAAGGCGGCCGAGGCCGAGGGAGAGGGAGAGGACGAGGAGACCCGCCGTATCCGGGAACGCATGGAGCGCGCCGCGGCCGAGATGGACGTGGACGAGCCCGACCAGGCCGACCAGCCCGACGAGGAGGACGGAGGCAAGAAGAAGCGCAAGCGGAAACGCACCAAGAAGGCTGCTGAGTCGGAGCCCGAGCCGGAGCGGCCAGTCAAGAAGTTGCGCGACGTGCCCGCCAAGGCCTCTGCTAAGCCCTCCGCCAAACCTCTGCCCGAGACCAAGGGCAAGCCCGGCAAGCCCAAGAAGAAGGGTCCCGACCAGGCACAGATCGCCGCTGTCGTCGCTGACCCGACGACGGCCAAGGCGTCCAAGCCATCACGGTCTGAGACGGCCGTTGTGGGCGTCGTGGACGTCAAGAAGGAGAAGAAGAAGGACGCCGAAGGCGGCGTCGACCTCGCTGCTATGCTTAAGAGCGACTCGGGGTCTGGGCTCGGCGTTGGAGGCTGGTAGACTTGCATTCATAGATCATTCACATTGTTATGTACTTTTAGGCATTCGCACTTACGCTCCTTCACTGAAGCTTTGCGATCATTCTGACTTGACCTCTCGCTGACGCGTAGAACTCAACGTCGTGGCGTAAGTTTCGGGGCCTGGTGGAGGCTTTCCAAGCCGTTGTTTATTGTTCTCGAGGCGTCACGGCCTTAGAAGTCGAGCCCGTCACGCCGTCCCATAACGAGCGCTCAGGCCGCGCAGCCGCCGAGAGGGCGCTGCAGCCTTTATGATAGTGCTGACACTTGGCCTTCAGTACCAACAGGGCTGATGCTCGTCATTGAAGCTTCGCTATCTGGCTGGATTCTTGCTGACAAGCGGCACCCATCCCGGGTCTAACCATGACTACTAGTACAGCGTAGATAGCTGTTTTCGATCTCGTCGTTACTCGCCGTTTGTAAGGTCCGCGTGGCGGCCTTAGTCGATCGCGTCACGCCATCACTATGAAGCGCGAGCGCCGTGTGCTCGGGCCGCTCACAGGACGGAAGGGTGCTGCAATCTTGGTGCTGACGATGGAAAACCGGAGACACCTTTGCTGGCGCTTTGCACCGAAACCTCGCTGCCGGGCTCACTCTTGCCGATCAGCAGTGAACACAGTCGTGGGCTCTGTCGTGGGTTCGGGCCCTGCTGACGAGTTCCAGGTTGTCGCTGCTGTCCTAGGTTGGGGTGGCCTGGACAGCCTTAGTCGACCTTATGCGCCCCCAATGCAAGGAGCGTGCGCTCAGGCCGTTTGCACGCCGAAGAGGTGCGGCAGCCTTAGTGTTGACCATGGCTGGCATTGGATGTACAGGATGGCATGGGCTGATCCGAGCCAGCACTGCTGGCTGCAGATGAACACACTCTCAGCATCTTCACGTTTCTCCACATCTTCACGACTATCATCGCCGCACACCTCGACACGCAACACCTTCTTGCCATGAGCGCGGTCAACGATCTGCTCCAGGCAGGCACGTTGGCGCTCCGCAACCTCGCGGCCTTAGGCGTATCTATGGCTACGCGCTTCCAAACCGATCCTGCATCCGCAGCGCGGGCCGGCGCCCCTGGAAGCCAGAGTGCAGGAGTGGCAGCGCCGGGGACGATATCGGCACCAGCAGCTCAGGGGGATGAAGAAGCACAACGGTCTTCTGGACTGCCGCCCCAGCCCAAGGAGCCGAAAGTGTGGGAGCAGCGCCAACGGAACATTGTCTGGTTTTTGTGCGTACTGCCGGATCCACGAGGAGCGCTGACGTTCGCAGCATGTTTCTGAACTGTACCTCTTTCGCTTTCCAGCACACGCTGCTTTGGAGCGGACCTGTATCGCCTTCTGTCACTTTGAACGAAGGAGAAGAGAAGCGACCTGCGGGGCCAATCGTCGCGGATGCGTTCACCGTGCTGTCATCGCTGCTGCTGGCATTTGCGTTAGACTATGTCGGACGCGGCCTCGGAATGGCTGTGTCTCTCGGAACAGCTACAATTGGTCTCGCGCTGTTTGCCGCCTCCTACGACTCCCCAATGCGCAGCGCCGGACAGGTGTTCTACGGCATGGGTTCTACAGGTGTAAAGGCTATAACGGACGTGCTGGTCGTCGAGACTGTCCGTCAGGAGATCGACATGCCACTCGCCTACGCATTCATGGCCTTGCCCCGTGCAATCGCGCTGTTTTCCGTTCCTACAGTTCGGTACGGTCTTCGTGAACCTGAACGGCATGTTCTCATTGCATTCAGTTGCGTCGTTCCTGCCCTTGGAGCCCCGCTGGTCTGCGTTCTGTGGTATTACAGAGCACATCTGGTCCTTCACAAGCCCTTCCGCCACCTGATGATGTTCGTCTGGGCGCGCCATTCGAACCGACCAGCATTTCTAGCCGGACGATTCCTACTTGTTGCTACTTTGCTGGTCGTGTTCTTGGTTCTTTGGCTGGTTCAGATGGACGTTTCCCCCTGGCCGGCGGCCATCCCTCCTCTTGTTGCCTCCCTCATCGTCACGGCTCCATTCTGTGAATGGGCACGCGTGCAATGCCAACCTGTATGGTTTCATTTCCGATTTTTCCTCATTCCAAGCCTCAGTAGGACGCGCGTCCGAGTGCGCTATAGATGGCAGCGCAGACAGTGGTTCAAGTTTCGAGGTCTTACCTCAATGCTCATGCCCGTGCGCAGAGCGAGAAACTTCTGTCGCGGGCTCGGCCGTGAGGTGGCATCGTGGAGTTCAGGCTTGAAAGTCAATCTCCAGCGCTGGCATCTCGGTACGTCAGCCAACGTCCTGTCCTGGGTGTCCGGGCTGTCATTTCGGAGCGTGTTCCTGGGCTATCGTTTGATGTCCAATTCAGAGTTTGCTGTCTGCGCCTCTTGTTTGACTTGGAAGAGTACGTGTTCTGCGCCATGTTCAAAGCTGACGTTGTAGTGGCTCACACGTGTTGGAGTACCAATCTTCATCCGTATCTACAAGTGGCGTTCTCGAAGTCGAGCGTTGAAGCACGCTATCTCATCTCGATGTCAACCGCCACCGAGCACTTGGGCATGCTGCTCGTGGGTCTTTATGCTGTCTACCGGCCTCATGAGATCAAACCTGCAAACCTGAAGTCGGTTCCGCTTTACTGCTTTGGCCTTGTCGTCTTCATACTGGCGATCAGTCTCGGTCACATCCCAAGCCTGTTCGTGGCTAGCCAGGTACTTCTTGCGGTGTCCCGCTCGGCCTTTGAAGTCACTAAGGAGCTGGCCTTGCTCGCAGACTGCCGATACGAGTGGCCGGACTTTCTGCATAGGTCACCTACGCTGTTAGCCTACCTGGGTCTGAGCGAGAAGGTTGGCGGCATGATCGGTGCCACCATCTCCGACATCCTGTGGGCCAAGGCCCTCCACAACCCGCCCAACCGCTACCTCAATGGCCAGACGATTCTCAGTGCGGAAAGAGTTCATCCAAATCTTGGCCAGCATCTGGCAACACCTCAGGGGAGTCCCGAAAGAGGCCGCATTATCTCCAACTACGACGAAACCCAAGCGATAGCACTTGCGATAAGCGGTGCTCTTATGGCATTGGCTTTCCTCTGTCTTCGGGGGATACAGACCTCCAGACATTTTACAGAGACGCTAAAGAGGAGGGATTTGTCAGTCGTGGCTTATAACTCTTTCGTGGAGGAGATTGTTGATTTATTGGACAAGCACCCAGGAAGGCAAATCTGTGAGGCGCTTAAGGCTCCCATTCACAGTCAGGACCTGGTCGAAGCCTACGTTCTCGACATGACCGAATATAAGAGTCTCAGGTCCTTGAAGCCCGAGGGTCGCCGCATGGCTGTGAGCCGTGCAGCTGAAGCAACCTCTCCGAAGAGGTTTACGGACCCAGATATCAGGACTCTCGAGGATTTCGAGCTCCGACAATCGCTATATCTTGCTCTGAAAGACGAGGAGCACTGTCGAAGGATGCTTGTCGCATTGGATGACGAAACTGTTCGTGAGCAGCATGTTGGCGCACTTTTGTCATACAGGACGATAGCCTCGTCGGAGCTATGTTTCCAAGTCAGAGAAGATTACGAACTATGGGCTAAGTGGCACATGAGGTCTATGTAGAAAGCACAGTTTCATTCACGTAGTAGTCGAATAACTATGCATCGAATCTGCTTCACTTCACTCGACTCTCTGCAGTCATAGCCCACCAGCCACAGGCACCTGTTCACTGTCACTTCTGTTCAGGACCTGCAGTCACCTAGTCATGCGTGAGGCAGGCATATTAAACGACTGCCGGCTTAAACAGCTTGCGGGTGGCCCACTTCGGAAGCCTCTTGAGGTTGATCCCCAAAGAAGACTTTGCGCAGGTCGAGTAGCTTTTCGATATCCCGCAGATACAGCCTGTGTCGGTAAGAATGAAGAGCTGCCGCATACTTCGCAAGCTGCTCAGTGTCCTCCAGAGTCTGCAGCAAGTTCCGACGGTACTCGTCATCCTCCGCCGCCTTCAACAGCTCGACTCGACGGTCGTAGCCTTTCCACACCTCGAGGTGCTCGGCACTGCCGACGCTAGCGCGGACCAATTTGACCGATTCCAGCACCTTCAGTAGCTCTAAGCGATCATCATCGTTCTTGATCGCCCCGAGCGCGTCGAATCTCTCGTTGTCGACTCGTAAGGCGACGGCGAGGTCCGTCCGACGATGGGTATCTTGGAGAACGTTGCGCAGGTCCCCTCCCCAGCCGGAGTCAGCCATCGCCTGGAGCTTGAGGTACTTTCTGGCCCACTGATCTTGCAGTGCGAATGTCTTCAGTGCGCTGTGCAAGGAGATATTGTCCATCTTGTAAACACAAGCGCTAGCGAATGACATCATGGCAATTCCTATCGCGACCGCATGCAGTTGAGTCGTCTCGTACGTTTGTACTATGGCGTTTCTCTCCGGACTTCCTGGAGCATATGCTAGATGCTTGGCTAGAAGGGGGTAGACGCGCTCGGCCGTCAGGATTGTTTGGGCATTGAGGTACCGCGTTGGTGCGTTGGGGAGAGCCTTAGCCCAAAGGGTGTCCGAGAACGTCGCTCCGATCATGCCCCCAATCTTCTCGCTCAGGCTTAGCAGGGCCAGTAACATTGCTGCGTCCTGTCTCCACCGGGCGCCTGAGAGGAGAGCAACCTCCTTCACAGCCTCGAATGTTGAGCGACACATCGACGTGAGCACTAGGCCTGACACAAGCAGGCCGAAGATGTGATATCTCACCGCCAGAATCAGCATGACCTCGCCGAAAAAGTACCAGCCCACCGCGCTCACGAGTGTGCGTTGGAATCTGCCTGGTCTCCGAACGTAAAAGCCCATTGGGAGCATGCACACAGTTTCGACTGTGAGTGACATAGACGTAAGACGCCATGCGGCTGGACTCGACAAGCGAAACATAAGCTGCGGGTATGAGTGCAGGTTGGTGCTCCAGCACGATTGGGCGACTGCGCTGTCAGAGTCTCCAATCGAAGAGTCGTACAACACACGTACTTTTCCAGAAGATGCACAGCCCACACACGCTGTACATCGTGTTCGTTCTCAAGCCGTCCAACGGCTGTCTTCCGGTGATTGTCTTGGGTCGTGGCGGCGGACGCATAGCGTCCCGAAATATGAGACGTAGACAGTTCCACCGGTTCAGGATGGTTCCGAAAATAACGATATACAACATGCGCTCCCGGCCAAAGACTCTTCGGCGGTGATAGCGCGTCCAGTGTGCGCGTCCGTTCACTAGCAGAACAATGGGGAGAATGACCAGCGGGGGAGCTGCCGCATACCACGGCAGTGTGTCGGTCCGCACGAGCCAGAGGACAAGGAACAACGCTACGACAGCGATCAGAGTCCACACATAGTCGGCGGGGAAGCCGAAGCGGTGCCTCTCTCTGTCCCACAGCTCGCTCTTCCACTCGCTCAGACTCTTTGCGTCGTCAAAGCAGGCGCTTTGGTACCTGATGAGGGCAGTCAGTGCTAACCCCAGAGCCGGCACAAGGCAGGCGAAGGCGATGAGCGCGTGACGGAGCTGAGTCTCAGTGAGAGTTTGGCGGATGACCGGGACGGAGAAAGCAGTGATCGCCCACGGGAAGGACATGGCCGCATACACGAGCGTGCGAATGTGCAGTGCCGTCGAGTCGGCCACGAGCACATCAACGGTGAGGCGCACGCCGGTGAAGCCCACCCCGTAGAACACCTGTCCGGCACAGAGCATGTCCATGTTTCGCGAGCCAGCAAAGAGAGCCAGGCCCAGCGTGGCCGAGAGGACTGCGAGCGCAAGGCCCCGCCCGCGACCCATGCAGTCGAGCGCAACAGCCATGAGCAGACTGGAAAGGACGGTCATGATGTCGGCGGCAATGAGGGAGGCGGGTCTCTTCTCTTGCCCTTCGAACAGTGAGATAGACGGCGAGACGGGCCTGTTCCACAGGAGGCTGTGTTGGAAGGCGAAGACAGCGCAGGTCAGGAATAATCTGTCTGTCAGCATCCCTCCAGCGAAACCGCACGTCTGCCCCAGCGAAAGTGGGTCCTCAAAGTGGACAGTCGTATTGGTGTACTCACAGAACGTAGAGCACCCAGAGAGCGCTCTTACTCCAGGGCTTGGGCTTGGAGCTGTCATCTCGAAGAATGAAAGGCGGGATCACGACGTCAAAGTCGCCGTCGTAGAGGTCGGCTTCACGCTTATTCCTCTCGTCACCAAGACGGATCTGCAGCGGGTCAAACTCCTCGGCGACCATGGCGAACCAGGCCGCTTCGTCATCCGGACGATGCTGTGCTTGCTGTACTTGCTGTACTTGCTGTACTTGCTGTACTTGCTGTACTTGCTGTACTTGCTGTACTTGCTGTACTTGCTGTACTTGGTGTGCTTGCAGTGCTCGCGTCGGGTGGCTTTCATCGCCAACGGGGTGCTCTTCACCACCACCGTTCTCTCCGATGTTCTGCCTCTCGTTATTCGTCGCCACGCCGTCGACCGCCCCGTCGGTGACATCCTGCCCACTTGCCGCTCGGGAGTCGGCGCTGTAGTAGACACTGTCGTCGCTACGGTCTCCGAGGCCGGGCGAGCCTTGGCGGTCAGCCGCTGCAAGGCTAGTTTGTGCGCCCATAGTTTGGGACTCGATGATGGGGCACGCCTCGGTTTGGTCGATGGAGAGGAGCATGGAGCAGCACGTCGAGGAGCTGTCCTCGCGTGCGCGCGTGTGCGCGTGTGCGTTCTTCCCACGTCAATGCCGATCGTGCTTGATCGTCGGCTCGCAGGGGCTCGCAGGGGCTCGCAGGGGTTGCTGTGCTCCCGTTCGCCCATCTCCAGTGTCGTTGGAAAGTTTGAATCTGAAGGTGAGGTACTGTACACAGTTAGCATGCCGTCAGTCCCAGCCAGTCCAAGTCAGTCCCAGTCAGTCCCATCAGCCCAACAGCCCATCGCCCCTGGCGAGGTCAAGAGGTATCAAGCACATAAATCGGTTGTTGTTATACAGTATAGAAGCGGGGGCTATAGACGGTTTTGAAAGTGATACTGATGATGGGTGGTGATACGCATGGATGGGTGGTGGTACAGGTGTTGCTTACTTCTCTCACCTCTCCTCTCCTCCTGCCTCTACTCTTCTCAGACTCTCGGTCTCTTCCTCTGTCTTGGGTGTCCGTTGGGTTTCCGGGTACATCGCCTCGGGTAGATCGTCATGTAAGACCGGTGGTGGTATCCGGGTATCGCACCAGGTTTCGAGTGGTCGTCGCATAGAGCTGAAGACGAGAGGGAAGACGAGGGCCGCTCGCCTCAGCCTCAGCCTTGCGGCATCGGCTTCGGCTCGGGCTCGGCTTCGGCTCGGGCTCTAGTCATCCCCAACCCTAGCCCGACACACCATGCACACGCTACTCCTCTTCATCCACTCGCGCACACAGCTCGTGTGCCCGACATGTCCACAGTTGGGGAGACAGAGCACACTGTCCCCGCCCCTAAATTGGGACATGCACACGGGACAGCTGCTAACCCTTGCTCCCAACACGCTCATCTTCAGCTTCACCTTGCCTGCGGCATTGACGCGGCGGCTGTCGATGCACACCGCGCTCTCGACGAGGGTCTCGAGGGCCTCTCGCGACGCGCCCGGGTCTATCGCCGGGCCGAGGAACGCCTCGACGTGTGTGAGGCCCTCGAACTCGCGCCCACTCCCTTGCAGTCGCGCGACGTAGATGTCTACATCGGTCAGGTCAGAGTAGCGCTGTCTGTCCTCCTCGCCGGCGACGGTAGCGGCGGCGCGGGCGGGGCGCGGGCGGGGAGGTTGGACGTCGAGGACGAGGTCTGCGGCACCTCGAGCGTGGACTGGGTGGGCAGCGCGGAGGTCGATTGCGTGTGTCCCGGCGCCAGGGTGGGCGGGGTCGGCGCCGTGTCGAAACCTTCGACCGCGGCCGCCGACGTCGAGCGCGAGACGGAGCCAGACCCGCTCTCGGCGGCACGGAGGAGATTGTCCGCCGAGCCGCGGAGGACGTCCCGCCGCAGATCGCGCGAGGGCGTGCCTGCCCGCTCGACAGAGGCGAAGGACGTGTTGCGCGAGTGCTCGGGGGAAAAGGCGGTGATGCTGGATGTGTTCCGGCTGTGCATTGCGTCGCTGGGCCGAGACTGCGATGTCGAGGGGGCATGAGACTGCGATGTCAAGGGGGCATGAGACTGCGACGTGCTTGTCTGGGCAGCCTGTAACTGAGCGGCGGTCTGGGCAGCCTGAGCCGACGACTGGGGCTGCGCAAGCGGGTCAAACATGGCCGCAGCGGCGGACACGGCGGACACGGCGGACGTATTGCGGCTGTGCTGTCCATGCGTTCCCCCACTATTAGCCCCAGAGACATTCCTGCTATGCCCCTCAGCCCCCGTGGTCGCCTGCGTCGCAATCGACACGTTCCGACTGTGGACCGGCGTCTCGCCCGCAGGGAGGCGCCACGGCCGCTGGGGAACTGGCGGGGGCGCGCCCCTTG